CCATCTTGTAGCAGAAGCTGTCAGGCTGCGTGTGACAAGACTACAAAAGGGAAGATACAGGTAGATAACTAAACAATAAGATTCAGCGAAGCTCCAAAACTCTTTATAAATACGGCCATTGGAAGGACGATCTTGAGTCAGGAAGGGTTTTTACTCGTTGCGAGCTGAGGACAAGAAGTAGGTACAATCGTAAAGGCACTGTAGCATACGGACATGTTTGTAGCATTTCACCAACTCCTAGACTTTTTTGGGCTCAGCGAGGCTAGGAATCTCCAGGACTCCCCCTCCCCCAGTTAGCTAGTCACTTGGACGCTCGATGGCGGTCATTGGCATTAAATGGAATTCTAAGCCTCCACATGCATTTAATGTTAGCTATCGACCAGGGTCACGGAACCAAGGCCTGGCAGTAAGTCTCAGACAGGCTTGTTAAAGGCGGATAAAGAGTTGTCCCAGATAATACGCCTCAAGTATGGCCACTGCTCAGCACAAGATGGTGCGTTGCAAAGGTTTTAAGTATACCTGCTAAGCAAGAGAAGTGCTGTATTTCATTCTCTGAGCTTCACCTACCTTAGTTGTCATAGTTGTCTCTGTAAGAGCCTCCAGAGGAGTAGCGGTCGTTATATCCTCCCTGACTTCTGAAAGCAAAGCACAACTGTTTTACACTGACTCCAGACACCCTCGATTCTAAGGGCAATGGGAACACTAATCTAATCTGACCCAAATAAAACAGGCCAGCCAAGATTTAAAAAAAAGCCAATTTTGAGTTCAAATGTAGCAGTGATGGAGAATGCCCCACAGCCCTCACTCAGTCCCAGTAGATAACATCCCTCTCACTTACAAACCATGTGCCTTATTTCTAAAATTTGTCTAGCTTCAACTTCCAGTGCTTGGATCATGTTAGACCTCTTCAATTGAGCACAGCTCGCCTAATATCAAAGTGTTGGTCCCTATGTAGGTACTTACAGACTTCAATCAAGTCACCCCGTAACATTCTCTGTTAAGCTACACAGAGCTCCTGGAGTCTTACTAAGCGAGTTTCTAATCATTCTGGTGCCTCTGCCTGGGTCCTCCCCTCTCCAACTGGTCACCAGCAGGGTACCAGCCACCTCTCTGCATGAGTTACCTGCCGCCGTAGTCCCGGGACCCACCATAGCCTCCACTTCGGTTGTCATAGCGGCCACCACCATAGCTTCTGTCTCCGCCTCCTGCGGCACAAAGGACAAAGATGTGAGTGCTCTTCCTTCCAAGGGCCAGCTGGCTTTCAGCTCAGATCAACATGGCTGCTAGACTCACCTCTGGAGTAGCCGCGGCCTCGTCCTCTGCCTCCGAATGAGCCACCTCTGGATCCACGGGAAGATTTCCCAGCATGATCAACTCTGATCTGACGCCCATCCACGGACTGCAGAGGAACAAGACACATTTAAGAAATGGGGAGCTAGGCGCACAGGGGGAGCGGATTAGGCACCAGCCCCCATCAATGCGGAAAGACTCACCTCTCCATTCATAGCCCTCATGGCATCTGACGCATGTTCTGGGTTGGCAAAGGTGATGAAGCCAAAGCCTCTGGACCTCTGCGTGTCTTTGTCTTTAATTACAACCACTGGAAGGAAAAGAAATAAAGGGTGAGGACCAAAAAAATATTTAAGCCTATGCAATTGGAATTGGCCTGGGTCTACAGATCATCCTTACTTAGTAAGGATGTCAGGTAACCATGCTGGTCATCGAGATACCCCAGCACCTGACCACACTGCTGTATCTGAACCTGTCATGTGGTATCACCAGACGGCCTCTTACACCAAGACCTGTACAACTCTTAACTAGGCAGCTGGTATTAAGGCTTAGAACAAAACAGCTTTTTTGGAGCAGGGGCCTAAGCACCCACTGCAATGAGGTCCTGGGTACATGACACCCCTCCCCCCAGTGCGCCAGCAAAACCAATTCTCCTCACAGCTGTAGGAACCAGGTGCACAGGCATAACCGGATCCTGACCTTCAGAGATGGGTCCAAAAGAGCCGAAATGCTGCTCCAGGCCTTGTTCATCGGTCTCGAAATTCAGACCCCCAACAAAGAGTTTTCCTTCTTCAGAAGACATGGTGAGGAAGAGTCTGGGGAAGGAGATGCAAGGTGGTTAGACGGAACAGAGGACAGCTGCACCAGGGCTTCTCCCTACCCAGCCTGGGGAGAGTCCCCACATAGAAGGGGGGAGAGGAGAAAAGTAGACACTGCAGCAGGGGAGGCACTCTCTCCAGTATCAGACTCAGCCCTTCCTGCCTTGGTGAGATGCCCTAGAGCTCTCTTCGCCCCCCCCCCTTCCCCCGCCATTTCCTCCCAGGGGCAGGAAGTAACTAAAACTCCTTGAGAGCAATTGAACACCATTGCTCTAGGAAGAGCCCCTTCTCCCTGGGGGCCTTATGGATCCTGAAATCCTCAGCATGTTCCTCAAAGCCCTATCACTATCTGCTCCCACCCTACAGGAAGAAGGGATTCGAGGATTGAGTGGACCATTATAGGGAGCAGCACCAACAGTTAAAGCCCAACAACACACCCTTAAAGCTCCCCATTGCTTCTAGCTCTCTGGTGGAGGGAATGTAACCACCAGCTCCTGGATGGATCTGCCAACCTCCACAGTACAGCTGGTAATCTAGCGAGAGCTATACTCACAGGGTGACCCCACAGCCTCCCACCCCAGGCTTCGGGCAGGGTATGCTTCTCAGATGACCCACTACTTAAGCGGTCAATCCCCGACAAGGGTTGTTCTCAGGCCCTCTCCTCCAGATCCAGCCCTCATCCAAGCAACCCCAGGGACCCACCCCCCATGAAACAGCCCCCCCCGCCCAACCCAACGGAGTATCTTCCGGGACTCCGCCCCCATCCCCCGCACGTGCCCTTCGCCCACACCCCGATGAAGGCCACAAGGCCCTAGCTTCCCCTTCCCCCACGGAGGCAAACGCGCCCCTCCCCCCACGGGCCGCCATCTTGTGCCCCGCGCAGAAGAGATGGCGGCGGCGGTCACGTGGCCGCAAGCGCGAGGCCAGCGCCAGACGGCGCGCCGACCACTCCAGCGCTCCGAAACTCCTCCGCTCCGCCCCCCCCGGCGCGGGAACGGCCCCCGAGAAGACGACGACGCAAGGGCCTCCCGCGCATGCGCGCCCGCCGTGTCCCACCCCCCCCCATGGAACCCCCCAGGCCGGTTGAGACTTCCCCCGCGCATCTAAGGCCTTTCGCCCCCCCCCCACAAAAACCGAAGAGAGCCCCCAGGCCCCCAGCGTTTTACTCGAGCCCCGCATGCGCGTTTTAGGGTCGCCACTGCGACCTCAACAACTCCCCGACAGGCAGGCAACAAGCCGCCGCCATTTCCAGCGCCGAGCGGGGAAAGGCCCCCTGAGCGGCACGCGGCCTGCCCCCACTCACCAAACAGACCTGTCCCCGGCTGGAGCTGCTGAGAAGGTGGCCGAGGTGCCGCCCGGCCGAGCCTTATATAGCGGCCCCGCCCACCAGCCTCAGGCCACGTGACGCGCAGCCGGCGCTTCCATTGGACCGGCGCCGAAGCGCGCGCGCGAGGGAAGGGCGCAGGAAGGGAGGAGCCAGCCGAACGGCGCCCATCCGGGACCTTGGCCGGCGGCCTACATCCGGGTCCTGCCCAACCGCCATCGCGCCCCACCTCTTCCCGCCAAGCCGAGCTCAGGGGAAAACCCGGGACCTGCGCATGGCTCGGCCCCCGCCACTGGCGCACATCCGGGTCCTTCCCATCCCTGAGCCCCGCCCCTTGCTCGGTAACCCCGCGCTGAGCCCTGCCTGCTCAGCCGCGTCCAGCTCCTAAAATAGCCTAGCCCCACCCTCGCGGGGACATCCGGGTGCCCTCGATACCTGAGCCCGCCCCCTGCTGGAGACCCCCCTGAGCCCCGCCCCGCTGGGCGACATCCGGGTCCTTGCAAGAACTCGCTCCTCCCAGCCCTGCGCGTGACCCCGTGAACATCCGGGTCCTACCCTCCCCGCGCGCCAGGGTTACCATAACAACGCGGCCTGGTCTGCGCTGAGACCGTCCTGGCCCGGCCGCGGCCTGGTTCCGCCCAGCCCCCGAGACCCTCCCGAAACACCCCGCCCTGAGAGACCCATCCCCTAACACCCCGCCCTGAGAGACCCTACAATAACACCCCCCATGCGGCCGAGAGACCCTCCCATAACACCCCCCAGTGTGGCCGAGAGACCCCCCAGTAACAACCAGCCCTGAGAGACCCTCCCGAAACACCCCGCCCTGAGAGACCCCTCCCATAACACCCCGCCCTGAGAGACCCTACAATAACACCCCCCATGCGGCCGAGAGACCCTCCCATAACAACCCCCCCGTGTGGCCGAGAGACCCCCCAGTAACAACCAGCCCTGAGAGACCCTCCCGAAACACCCCGCCCTGAGAGACCCCTCCCATAACACCCCGCCCTGAGAGACCCTACAATAACACCCCCCATGCGGCCGAGAGACCCTCCCATAACACCCCCCAGTGTGGCCGAGAGACCCCCCAGTAACAACCAGCCCTGAGAGACCCTCCCGAAACACCCCGCCCTGAGACCCTCAATACACCCCCCCATCGCCGAGCCCTCCCATAACACCCCCAGTGTGGCCGAGAACCCCCAGTAACAACCAGCCCTGAGAGACCCTCCCAACACCCCGCCCTGAGAGACCCCTCCCACAACACCCCGCCCTGAGAGACCCTACAATAACACCCCCCCATGCGGCCGAGAGCCCTCCCATAACACCCCCCAGTGTGGCCGAGAGACCCCCAGTAACAACCAGCCCTGAGAGACCCTCCCGAAACACCCCGCCCTGAGAGACCCATCCCCTAACACCCCGCCCTGAGAGACCCTACAATAACACCCCCCCATGCGGCCGAGAGACCCTCCCCTAACAACCCCCCCGTGTGCCTGAGAGACCCCCAGTAACAACCAGCCCTGAGAGACCCTCCCGAAACACCCCGCCCTGAGAGACCCATCCCCCACCCCCCCCCGTAACAACCAGCCCTGAGAGACCCTCCCGAAACACCCCGCCCTGAGAGACCCATCCCCTAACACCCCGCCCTGAGAGACCCTACAATAACACCCCCCCATGCGGCCGAGAGACCCTCCCCCTAACAACCCCCCCGTGTGGCCGAGAGACCCCCCCAGTAACACCCCGCCCTGAGAGATCCTACAATAACACCCCCCCCATGCGGCCGAGAGACCCTCCCCTAACAACCCCCCCGTGTGGCCGAGAGACCCCCCAGTAACAACCAGCCCTGAGAGACCCTCCCATAATGCCCCCCATGCAGCCGAGAGACCCTACAATAACAAACCCGCCCTGAGAGACCCTCCCGTAACACCCCCCCATGCAGCTGAGAGACCCTCCCGTAACACCCCCCCCATGCAGCCGAAAGACCCTACAATAACAAACCCGCCCTGAGAGACCTTCCCATAACAACCAGCCCCAAGGGACCCTCCCATAACACCCCCCCATGCCACCGAGAGACCCTCCCATAACAAACCAGCCCTGAGAGACCCTTCCCTAACAACCCCCCCATGCGGCCGAGAGACCCTCCCATAACACCCCTCCGTGCGGCCGAGAGACCCTCCCATAACACCCCCCTGTGCGGCCGAGAGACCCCCCAGTAACAACCAGGCCTGAGAGACCTTCCCATAACAACCAGCCCCGAGAGACCCTCCCGTAACACCCCCCCATGCCACTGAGAGACCCTCCCGAAACAAACCAGCCCTGAGAGACCCTTTCCTAACGACCCTCCCATAACACCCCGCCCTGAGAGACCCTCCCGTAACACGCCCCCATGTGGCCGAGAGACCCCCTCCCGAGTAACAACCCCCTCTGAGAGACCCTCCCGTAACACCCCCTATGCAGCTGAGAGACCCTCCCATAACAACCCACCCTGAGAGACCCTCCCATAACACCCCCCCCCATGTAGCTGAGAGACCCTCCTGTAACAACCTGCCCTGAGAGATCCTCCCGTAACAAACCTCCTGTCTGATCCAGGAGCCGGCCATGTTGGGAGCTGCCCAGGACAACGGAGAGTGGTGAGATGCGCCCGCCAAGCTGGGCAAGCCGGAAAAGGCATTTCAAGACATGTGGGAGACTGAGCATCCGTGGGAAGCGGGCCAACCCTCAGAGGTGGGGCTGTCCCAGGGCCTCCCCTTGTGGACAAGCAGGACCCCTTGGGGAGGCTGCTCCAAGGGAGTGACATGGTGGGGGGCAGACATTCCCAGCTAGGTAGAGCTAGGTGCCTGCTTGGAGCCTGGACTTAGGTGATGCAAGACACAAGAGGGGCAGGATTTTTGTGGGTCATGTGCTGGGGCGCCCATCTCTTTCTGCTCGCTGTAGAGAGAGTCCAGGCCCCTAACTTGGGCTCTGTGGGTCACAGCGATTTTTCAAGGGACCTAGAAGGGCAGCATCACAAGGCCTAAGTCCCTTTGGGGGTCCAGGCCTAATGTCCTGGACAGTGCTCCATCGCCCTCATTTGATATGCGTACCTCATCCTTCTTCTAACCAAATATGGGACACAGATGTTGAATGACTATGTCTGCCTTTTCTGTACCATCATTAGCAATTTTTCCATCTCTGTCTATGCTAGAGTGTATTTTGTTCCTGATATGCTTTAAAAAAACCCCTCCTTATTGTCCTTAGCCAGCTATGGATGTTCCTCTCTTGCCTTTAGTTTCCCTTATCAATTTTCTACACTTCTAATTTATATTGATTACTGTTTATCTCATATTTTTCCCCATTTTTTATATGTAGCTTTGTAAATTTCTAACTGATACCTTCATTTCCCCCACTGAAAGAGCATGGGCTTTTAGCCAAATGTACCCACTTTCTTGATTTCTGGAATTGTGGCTTTTTGGCCATCTGAGGAACTTTTCCTCGAAAACTCCCCAGGTGCATTCATATTTTGCAATCTAATTTTTTTCTTCCAGTCTATTTCACTCGTAATTTTTCTCTGTGTTAGGAAATGAGCCCATTCAAAGCACAGAGGAAAAAATATGTTATAGGTTGGAACATCCTGTTTGCCCATATTGAATGATTGAATAATAATAATAATGGGAGGTGGCGCAGCTCAGCGCCGGGTGAGCCATCGCCATGCGGTGGTATGTGCCGCTGTTCCCCAGCTGCACTGCTCTAGAAGTGGCTGCATCTCAGTATCAGGCGAACCATCCCCAGGTGGTGTTATGTGCGGCTGTTTCCCAGCTGCCCCGCCCCAGAGGTGGCTGCATTTCAGTGCTGGGAGAGCCATCCTCGTGTGTTGGAATGAAGGAGACGGAGCCAGAGGCCTTTCAACACCTTTATGTCTGTTCCATGCTGCATCCAGCGCCCCATGGGTCTCAGTTCCAGTGGGTGGCTGGGTCCAGGCTGAGGGAGATGACGGAGGGCGGGGGGGCAGGGGGGGGAGGTCATAGCGCGCAGGGAGCTGTACCAGTCGTCGGGGGCACGGGGGGGTGGCGGGGGGTGGGTGCACGGGAACTGGCCAGGAGGAGGCGGGAGCCCTGCGGGGTAGGAGGCAGGGAAGCGGGGGAGGTGGTGGTGGGGGGCCAGGGTCGGGGTGTATTGGTACTGCCGGGGTGGGGGAATGGGTACTGGCCCGACCGAGAGGACCCGCGGAGGGCTGGGCTTCAGCAGGGCCCGTTCCTGTTTCCGCTGCTTGGCCCGGCGGTTCTGGAACCACACCTGGAAAGAGAGAAAGACACCGTCCAGACCCAGCCGTGTTACCCCACGGAGCCCCTCACACAGGAGTGCCCCTGGCTGGGACTTCAGTGATGCCTCACCCGGCACAGAGTGCGGCCACCTCTGGGGCGGGGCGGCTGGGAAACAGCCACACAGAACGCCCTCCAGTGCCTAGCACTGACTGCCAAGAGAGTGCGCCCCCCTGCCCAGCCTCCCGCCCTGCAGCCCTCCACCTGGTACCTGGATCCTGGCCTCATTGAGCCGCGTGGCCCGGGCCAGCTCCTCGCGGACGTAGATGTCAGGATAATGGTTCTTGACGAAGGCGGCCTCCAGCTGCTCCAGCTGCTCCTGTGTGAAGCTGGTGCGATGGCGCCGGCGTGTGGGGGTGGCGAAGTGCAGGGAAGGGGGAGCAGCTGGGGGTCCCCCCGCCAGGCCGGGCATCTCTGGGGCCTTCCTGAAGGGGGGGCTGATAATGTCTGAGAGGGAGACGGTGTGGGGTAAGGGGGCTGTCAGGACCTCAGCTGGTGCCCCTCACTTCCGACCAGCAGCCCCCTCCTAGCCCAGCCCTGCCAGCTCTGCCGGTTCCCCTCACTCCCGACCCACAGCCCCCTGCTAGCCTAGCCTTGGGCTCCCCACAGCCCTGCCCGTGCCCCTCACTCCTGACCCGCAGTCCCCTGCCAGCCCAGCCCTGACCCCCTCCCCAGCTCTGCCGGTGCCCTTCACTCCCGACCCGCAGCCCCTGCTAGCCCAGCCCCGGGCTCCCTGCCCCCACCTCCTATAATTTAAACCGGGGGATATTTCTAACCTCTGTCAGCGCGTTCTCCTGCAATGTGCGGTGCCCCCGTGGCAGTGTGCTGTGCCCCCTGGTGGCCCAGCATGGGTAAAAGCCCTAATACCTCCACCGCAGGGAGCGCTCCCCCTGCAGCTCAGTGCACGGAGGTCTGCGCCACTGTGGGGGCGCGTTGCAGGCTCTGGGGGAATGTCTCCACACCCCAACAAGGTCCCTTCTTGGCAGGTCAGTGGCAGCCTCTGAGAGTCCTCCCCCCCAGTCCCGCTGGGGACATGTAATTCCCGGCTGTGATCCCCTGGATTAAGTGGGGGGAACTTGATCACCCCTCCCCACCCGGCCCATCAAACCTGAGAGCGTGAGAACGCAGCGCCCCGGGGGACACAATGCACCCGGGAGGCTAATTAGTCTGGGACGGGTGGGGGGGACAGGGACAGGGAAGGAATTTGAGCCCCAGAGCGTCTGTGCCAAGCAGCTTTCTCATTAACGTGTACATGACCTGGGGCCACGGACCTGGCTTCCAGCCCCACCACTGTAATAACCATTAGACCCCCCAGCCCCCTCCCCCCCCAGGCAGGGAGAGAATCCAGGAGTCCTAGCTCCTAGCCCTCCCTCCCTGCTGTAACCACTAGACCCCACTCCCACCCTCCCGAGCCAGGGAGAGAACCCAAGGGTCCTGGCTCCCAGCCCCCACCCTGGTTCTGCATGGGGGAGGAGTAGTGACAGTCCCCCTCCCTGGGACCCCACTCACAGTTCAAGCCGCCAGCCCTGCCATGGCTGCAGAGGATGTGGGGTCAGTGCTGGGTGGCCGGGCTCAGCACTGGGGGACAGGACGGTGTTGGAAGCAAGAGCGGACTAACAGCGTTGGGGGATAAGGTAGGACCCAGAAGTCCTGGCTCCCAGCCGTGCTCCCCCGCTCTAACCACTAGATTCCCCTCCTCTCCCTGGGGAGAGAACCCAGAAGTCCTGGCTCCCAGCCCCTCCCCCCACTCTCACCACTAGACCCCACTCCCCTCCCAGAGCCAGGGAGAGAACCCAGGAGTCCTGGCTCCCAGCCCCTCTGGCTGTAGAGCAGTTCCCCCATCTTTCTCCCTGAACTCTGACCCCCCTTTCCTCCCCTTTCTCTGCCCCCTCCCTAGAAGGGACTCGTCCCTGAAGGCTGGAGGTCCCCACTTACCAGCCTTGGCGCTGACAGTTTGGGGTACCCGTCACCTAACCCCGCACCCTTCCTGCACTCCCTCCTTCTCGCCCTGTGCCCCATGTGCCCCCACCCCAAACTTTTAAGTCGTCTCTGAGTCCGCCCCTCCCCTCTTGGGGGGTGTCTGCATTGACCAATCAGTTCCCCCTAAGTGGGGACCATCCTCCCTCAAGGCAGGTCCTGGCAGGGGTGGGTCAGGGCAGGATCAGTGTGGGCCCCAGAGGGCCCCAGGTGCTGCAACCCCTAGATAGCTAGGGGGTAGCTGTCGGGGGGGGGGGGTAGTTAGCAGTGTATGTGTGTGTGCCCCCTACTGGAGGGGGTGGGCCCTGCTCTGTGTGTTGGAGTAGTCTGCACTGCGGGGGAGGTCAGTTAGTGGGGGAGAGGCTGGGGAGGCCCAATCGGGGGTCATTGTGGGGAGGTCCATGGTGGGGGCGTGGAGTTTGGGAGGCTCGGGGGGGGGGGGGCTCTGTGTGTGGCAACTCCCGCCCCCGTCCCCTGGGATAAGGTTCCAGTAATCAGGGCTGCCCATTGTGAGTGTAAATCCACCGAGATTGGGAACAGCCGTGGAGACAAAACCAGCCCCCTTCTGCCCCAGCCCTGCCGGTGCCCCTCACTCCCAACCCGCAGCCCCCTGCCAGCCCAGCCCAGGGCTCCCCCATAGCCCTGCCGGTGCTCCTCACTCCCAACCCGCAGCCCCCTGCCAGCCCAGCCCAGGGCTCCCCCATAGCCCTGCCGGTGCCCCTCACTCCCAACCCACAGCCCCCTGCCAGCCCAGCCCAGGGCTCCCCCATAGCCCTGCCGGTGCTCCTCACTCCCAGCCCAGGGCTCCCCCCCAGCCCTACCGGTGCCCCTCACTCCCAACGCGCAGCCCCCTGCCAGCCCAGCCCAGGGCTCCCCCCCAGCCCTACCGGTGCCCCTCACTCCCAACGCGCAGCCCCCTGCCAGCCCAGCCCAGGGCTCCCCCATAGCCCTGCCGGTGCTCCTCACTCCCAACCCGCAGCCCCCTGCCAGCCCAGCCCAGGGCTCCCCCATAGCCCTGTCGGTGCTCCTCACTTCCAACCCGCAGCCCCCTGCCAGCCCAGCCCTGGCCAGCGCCTGGCACTAGGGGGCCCAGGTTGTGAACAGCTGCTGGATTTTTTTTGATGGCTTTTCCCTGCTGGCCTGTAATGGGCGGGTTAGAGGTTGAGCAGCCTGCCCCCTTTCCGGCTGCCCTCAGCATGGTAAGGCATCGAGCAACCGCCAGGCAAACGGGTTTCCTGTTATCTCTGGAACAAGCTCTGCCATGGAACCCAGGAGACCTGGCTCCCAGCCCCCCGCTCTAACCCACTGGACCCCACTCCCCTCCCAGAGCCTGGGAGAGAACCCAGGAGTCCTGGCTCCAACCCTCCCTGCTCTAACCCACTAGAACCCACTCCCCTCCCAGAGGTGGGGAGAGAACACAGGTGGCCGCTGTGTGTTTGTGTGTCCCTGACGCCCCCTGCTGGAGGGGATGGACTCTGCTCTGCGTGTGTGTGTGTGTGTGTGTGTTTGTGTGTATCCCTGCCAGCCCCTGCTGGAGGGGTTGGGCCCTGCTGTGTGTGTGGGTGTTAATGCAATGAGGTTGAAGCACTGACTCTTGTGTTCCCTACAGAGCCAAGAGCTAATAGTGATTCCTCCATCAGCTCCAGGTCTCTGCTTTTGGGACAGGAGCTGAGTTTTGGATGTACAGCTACTGAGATGCAGCCACCTCTGGGGCAGGGCAAGTGGGGAACGGCCACACATGGGCTTGCCTGGCGCTGAGCTGCAGCCACCTCTGGGGTGAGACAGCAAGGTAAGAACAGCACAGCAAAGCCACAAACCTGGGACGGGAACTGAAGGACTCTCCGTGTTTTTTTGACTGAGGTTCCCGAAATAGGGATTCGGCTGAGCCAGTGGGGGTCAGAGACTGTACTCGGTACCATTGTGAGCCTCTCGTCTGACCTCCTGTATCACATAGGCCAGAGACCTGCCCCGAATGAATTCCTGTTTGATCTAGGGCAGAACTCTTAGCAAAACTGACCGTCCTGATGAAAACCTCCGGGCTGGAGAATCCACTGCCCCCCTGGGGAAGGGTCCCGAGGGTTCATTGCACTCACGGCAAAAACTTGCACCTTATTCCCAGGCTGCATTTGTCCGGCTTCAACTTCCAGCCATGGGCCAGGGTTCGACCTCCTGCTGTGGTGCTGACGTTTGTTCCCCACAAGGGACTTAAAGACGGTGATTGAAACACTCAATATGTCGGGACTTTTGGGCTAAAGAGCCAGAGATCAGAACTGGCACCCCCCCAGCCCCATTCCCTGCCCCCCTGAACCAGCCAGTCCCCGCCCTGGGGCCGGTGGGAGCTGGTGCCCCCTAGAGGGGACAGGCCCCGGCCCTGGCCCCATTCCCCACCCGCTGAGCCAGCCAGTCCCCATCCTGGGCATGGATCAGGGCCGGTGCCCCCTAGAGGAGACAGACCTCATGTCTCCTCTTTGGCTGTCTTTCTTTGGCTCCCTGATTTCCAATGGTCTAACGATTCTCTCTTACTTCCTTTACAAGCCCCCCAGGTTTGTTACAGCTCCCGGCCCAGGGCTCACACGCTTACAGCCGGAAGCACAAGACACTAGCCCAACCCTAGGCTGCCCCCCCGCCCCGCTCTGACCCACAGTCCCCCGCTAACCCACTCCTGTTTCCACCCCCAGCTCCAGCAGAGACCCTGCTTCACGTTGTCAGGGATGCAGCATAGTGGGAACCGGGTCAGTCCCAGGATCCTAGAGACACAAGGCGGGGGAGGTAAGAGCTGTGATTGGACCCACTTCTGTCGGTGAGAGAGGCCAGCTTCCGAGCCCTTCTCTAGGGCTCCCGCTACCATGGGCCTCTGCTCCCCTCCGGTGGCTTTTTTATTTCCCCTGCTCAGAAGGCCAAGAGGAAAAGTGACATCCCACCTGACTTCTAGTGCCCCCGCTCCAACCGGGGTGGGGGGGGACTGTATTCGGGCATTGGGGGGGCATGAGAAGTGGCTGCTGCCTTCAGAGCTGGGTGGCCGGAGAGCGGCGGCTGCTGGCTGGGCACCCGAAGGGAGGGTGGCCTGGCAGAGGATTTCTTGCCTCGTGTGCACCTGGCTGGGTTTGAGTCAATGCCTTACAGGGTTTAATAGTTAGTGAGAGGTGCATGTCGAGTACCCAGGAGTCCTGGCTCCCAGCCCCCCGCCCCCCTGGGCACCAGGGTGGGGTCGCTCCATGCCTGGTGCAGACGCAGGTCGTTGGTGGACAGGGTCATCGACCCAGCTACGGCCTCTGGCAGAGGCGGCCGAGCTGCGCCTGGGGAGGGCCCTTCCCCCAGGGGGTGGGGAGCGTCGCTGCTACAGCGCCCTGGCTGTGGTGTGGACGTACTCGAGGAAACTGGCCTGGTCCTGGGGGGTCGGGGGCTGCCAGCCCTTAGTGCTGTCTGGGGTGGGGCTGAGCTCCCAGTGTCTGGCATGGGGGGAGGGGCAGCATCCCCTTCCCCCACTGTTAATTGATGTCAGGACACGTGGAGTTAACCCCAAACCCCAGCTCCAACCCCCTCACGCCCCATGCTGCATCCAGGAAGCTGCCCACCCAGTTACACACACACAATGCATGTGGTTGTGTGTGTGTGTGTCTGTCCCTGCTGGAGGAGACAAGCCCTGCACTCTCTGTGTGTGTCCCTGCCCCCCCTGCTGGAGGACACAAGCCCTGCACTGTGTGTGTGTGGGGGGGGGGGGCGGCGCGGAGGGCGTGTGATGAAATGGGAATTTTTCATAATATTTTGAATATTGTGAATGCCTCGGTTTCCCCTACGTGGCATCGGGCTAACGAGGCTGTGGGAAATGGTTGTTTGCTCTGCGCAAAGACTCAGAGATCCTGGTGTGACTGACGCCTGTCTGGGCCCAGACAATTGCCCAGCCATTGGGTACCGAGAACTAACCACCACGGTCGACCCCTCTGTAGGAAAGCGAAGAGCTAAGGAGGAGGGCCAGGTCACTGTGTGGACTATCGGAAGCACAGTGCCATGGATCTCACAAAAGGCTGGTGTCTTTAGACCCAGAGGCCAGACAGAAATCTGCCTTCATCACCCCCTTTGGGGCTCTTTGAATTCCTGGTCCTACCTTTTGTCTCAAGGGGGCGCCGGGTGGATCAGTTCATTACTGTGGAGGGTGGAGGACTTTGCTCGGGCGAACAAGCCCTTCCTGGTGCTCACCGACACTTGAGGCACAGGGCTGGGCGCGGTGCTGATGCTAAGTGGGAGAGAGACCCCGTCGTGTACGTGGGCGAGAACTTGCTGCCCCAGGAGCAGAGCTAGGCCCCCAGGGAGAGGGGATGCCTGGCCGTGGGGAGGACTTTTAAAAGGCGGCAGCTGTATCTAACTGGGCGGCATGTTACCGTGTAGACTGACCACTCTCTTCTGGCACGGCTGCACCAAATGAAAGGGGCTAATGCCGAGCTGCTGAGACGGAGTCTGATCCTCCAGGGTTATGAGATGCAGGCGGGCCACGTGAATGGATGTGCAAATATTACAGCAGATGCTTTGTCCCGGGGAGGGGTCCCTGGGCTTCCCCAGGTCACGGGCCGTAGTGACCCCACTCAGTTGGGTCTCGAAGGGTGGAGAGATGTGACAAAGTGGAAACTTTTCCTAAGGTTTTGTGTGAATGCTGCGTGTGTCTCGGTTTCCCCTATGTGGTGCATGTTTAACTAGCTGGTGGAATAGGTCGTTGACTCTCTACGCTGTGTCCAGACATCTAATAAACCCTCCTGCTTTTACCACACTAGCTGAGAGTCACTCCCACGTCAGGCAGTCGGGGGTGCATTGCTCCCTTTGGGGGTACAAGTCTTCCCCAGGTGTCCAATCCAGCTGGACTGGTCGGGGGGGGGGTTATGGCATGATGCAGGGGTGCTGACAGCTCCGAGGTTTGGTCCCACGGGGCGGGGAAGCCGAGGGGCTCACGCCAGTGAGTGAGTGTGCCCCTAAGGGGCTGCCACACTGAAGGGGATCTGTTCCAGAGCCGGGCGAGAGCACCAGGCCTGTGGATCCATGATTCCTTCCAACCCATCCAAGGACCCATCCATCCCTGCCCCCCATCCCTCCACCCATCCATGTCTGCCCACTCATCCCCCGATCCAAAACCACCCCATTCTCCCAAAAACCTCTGCCCAACCATCCCCCATCCAACCACACCAGTCCACCCATTACCTCTCCCATCCATCCACCCTGTCATCTCTTCCCACACAACCATCCCTGCCCACCCGTCCTACAACCATCCATCCTACAACCAACAAGCCCTAGAACCCATCCATCAGCCCATCCAACCACCCATGCGCCCAAACATCCCTGCCCACTCATCTCACCCAGCTCCCCTCCAACCACCGACACACCCATCAATTCCTGCCCAAACACCCACCCACCTATCCATCCCCCATCCATCCCTGTCCACTCATCCATCCTTCCTACCCCCACCCACTGTGATGAAGCGGGACTGTTCTTAATGTTTCCTCTGAATATTGTGGGGGTGCCTCAGTTTCCCCTAATCAGTTCTTAAGTATCTAGGTGGTGGGATAAGGGGGTATGATCGTTGCACAGCCCTAGAGGGCAGGTGTGTGCAGGGGTCTGGACACAGAGAATGGCTGACACCCTGTTTCCTGGCTACTGATGGGCCTGGCCCTTCCCCCTACAAGGTGAGAGCTAAAGGGTTGGAGAACAAAGGAATCAGGTGGCCTCCTGGCCCGGCAAAGGGACAAAGCCCAGAGGAGGGGGGGGCTGGAGGGGGAGTCAGTTGGGGGCTGGCTGGGGACGTGGAGTGAAGTGCAGACGTGGTTGTCTGGCTCCCTGCCCCTCAAAAATGGACCCGGCTGAGGGGACCTGTTCTCTGCACCTACAAGCTCTGTTTTAGACCATGTTCCTGTCATCAAATAAACCCCTGTTTTACTGGCTGGCTGAGAGTCACGTCTGACTGTGAAGTTGTGGGGCAGGACCCTCTGGCTTCCCCAGGACCCTGCCTGGGCGGACTGGCTGTGGGAAGCGCACGGAGAGGCAGAGGATGCTGAATGCTCCGAGGTCAGACCCAGGAAGGTGGAAGCTGTGTGAGCTTTGTGTCCTGAAGACAGGCTGCTCCCAGAGAGGAGACTTCCCCAGAGTCCTGACTGCCTTCATGGGGAGCAGTTCCAGAGCATCACCCAGGGACTCCGTGACAACTGGTGTCAGCAATGGGATGTACTGCACCCCGTGGGTGGCGCTTCCTGCAGTAAGCGACTGGGGAGCAGTAAAACGAAGGGGGACTGAAGAGGACGAGGCGTGCTGAAGGCTCAGAGAGGAGCGGTTTCGGGGGGCGGTTAACCCCTGGGAGTGTGTGACCAGCGAGAAGGACTATGCAGTAATGGGGTCCCCCTGGGGACTGTGGTGAGCAGTCTCAGGGGTGGAGGAGCCTGCGGCTTGGCCCGGGGAGGGAGAAGGACTTTTGCAGTAACAGGGTTCCCCTGGGGATTGCAGCGAGTGGTCCCAGGGGCGGAGGAGTCTGCGGCTCGACCCTGGCAAAGAGGTGGTGACCTTGAGAAGGGCTGGCACACGAGGGGTTCTCCCTGGAAACCGTGGGGAGCTGAGAGCACACAGGCCTGTGAGTCCACAACAGCTTGGGAAGAGCGGAGTGATGGCCTGTCACCGTCTCCTTAAGAAGGACATTGTAACCCTGTGCAGAAAGAGAGGGTTGAGCATTGGAAAGTTCACCAAGGCACAGTTAATCGTGCAGCTGGAGGAGGATGACTGCTCTAAGGAACAGATTCCTGACCCCAAATGGGGCTGGAGCAGCGGGAGTAGTAGCCAGGCATCCCCAAGACTCCTGTCTCCGACCAGACGAGGGTCTTCACGATCGGGTTCCCCATCGGGGGATCGGAGACGGACGGGATTGGAGCTGAGTCCGAGAGAGCAAGAGCCCAAGAAAGAGCTGCAGAAGCGGCATGAACTGGCGGTGGGGGAGCGGAGAGCCATAGGGGACCTCCCCGGGGTGAGTGGGGATAGACCCCGGGGGCCAGTTCCGCAGGGAACCTCGAGACTAAATTGCTGCCCCTTATTAAGGGGGGGTGGGGATGTGGATGCCACCTCACTGCCTTTGAGCAGGCTGGAGATTTGAACCTGGGGGACCCTGCGGAAAAGCCCCGGTGTCTAGCTCCCTTGCTGGGTCCCCAGGCCATAGACTCTGTCAGCCAGATGGGTGGGGATGAGGACAGGCTCCCACTCCTGACCCCAACCTATATGTCTGTGTGGAGTCTCCTGGGGTCGGGCCCCTCGGACCCCCAGTGGGAGCGGAAGGTGATGGTCAATGGGGAGACATTCCTGGGGTGGCGAGATCCTGGGACAGAGAGAACTGTTGTCAGGCCCTGGGTGGTGCAGCCTCAGAGGCTGAGGGGCTGTGTGAGCTGGGTGAGGGTCTCAGGGATGAAGCCCCTTGCCCTGCCTATGGCCCAGTTCCCTGTGCAGACCCAGGAGGGGTGGGGCTGGCTGGTTGTTGGGGTGCTCCAGGACACCAGCTGCGAGACCCTGTTGTGGGGTGACTGTGTCTCTTTGGGACAGGATCCAGGCCCTGCTCCTGTAACGGCCAAGGGTTTGAATTTGAATCCAGGGAACCAATTGGCGGAGAGGGAAACGGTCAGTGAAAATGCAGATGACCTGGCTGGCAGGGGGGAGGAGCGGCTAGGCTCAGGCTACCTGCCTGCCTGTGTCTAGACCCCTGCACACACCTGCCCTCTAGGGCTCTGCAATGATCATACCCCCTTTTCCCACCACCTAGATACTTAAGAACTGCTTAGGGGAAACTGAGGCACCCCCACACTATTCAGAGGAAACATTAAGAACAGTCCCGCTTCGTCACCCCGCCATTCCCAGCCATCTGCTTATGCACTCACCCACACAACCCCGTCCACTCATGCATTATTCCATCCACCCAACCGTCCCTACCCCCTCACCTATCTGTAGATCTGTTCTGACCAAGGCCACGGAACAACGAACAAAGCCTGAATTCCCATCAGCCTTGTAAATATGTAGTTAGTAGGAAAGGGAACAGCAGGCGGATGAGGAACCAGGAACGGATGGCGAACATGTGACCAGGGATTGGCTCCCAGGAACTAAGGAGCCGATCAGAGAGCGTGCGAGGGGATGTAGAACAGAGAGTGCGGGCAGCGTCTGTGTGAGGGCGTGTTTATCAGCTGGTGAATGAGTTTGTACTTTGGGTGCATGGTTCACCCTGGACCCCACCCCCTGCCCCTGAGCCTCAGTAGCTCAGGGTCGGGCCCTTGGGTGCCAGGAGAGAAACCTCTGTGTTGAGCCTGACGTCGAGCTGAGGTCTTGGAGACCGAGTGGATAAGGTCCCAACATCATCCACCCAACCATCCCTGTCCGCTCACCCACCCATCCAGGTGTCCACCCGCCATTAGACCCATCCATCCATCTACCCATGCATCCCTGCCCCCACACATCCCCCCCATCCATCTGTCTATCCACCCACCCTTACCCCAACCCATCCCTCCACCCAACTACCCATCCATCCCTGCCCCCATTCTCCCATCCATCCACCCACCCACCCATTCCTGTCCAGCCGCCCAACCATCCCTGTCCGCTCACCCACCCATCCAGGTGTCCACCCGCCGTTAGACGCATCCATCCGTCTACCCATGCATCCCTGCAACCACACAATCATCCAGTGCTGCCCTCACACATCCCCCCCATCCATCCATCCATCCCTGCCCACCCCCACACATCCCCCCCATCCATCTATCCATCCATCCCTGCCCACTCCCACACATCCCCCCCATCCATCTATCCATCCATCCCTGCCCACCCCCACACATCCCCCCCCCTCCATCCATTTATACATCCACTCTCTCATGACTCCATCCATCCCCCCAACCACCCTGTGCACCACTAGAGCACAGCGCCCCACTGAGTCCCCCAGCAGAGCCCCCCCACTCCGCATGTCACAGTCCCTGCTCTACCCCATGCCGCCCCTCCACCCTTGGGTTTCCACCCCTCTCCTCCCTGACTCGCTGCGGGCGCTGAGTGACCGGACATTTCCCCCTCCGGCAGGGAGCAGGGGTGGGGACTGTCCCACGCACCGAGCAAGAGACATCAGATAATAATTACCCGCCCCTCCCCCGCTGACATCCCCCCCCCCCTTCCTCCTGTCCAGCCTGGCCGGTGTGGGGGGGAGGAGAAGGGTGTGGTGCTGCTTATATAGGAACCAGCGGGGCTGAGCCACACACTGAGCAAGTCGAGATTCTCAGCCCTCGCCTGCCCCATGGTCTCAGGTAAGAGAGAGGAGCCTCCCTGCTGCTCCCCTCCGCTGGGCCCCCAAGACCCCCTGCTGGGCCCCCCGGCACCCCTTCCGGCCCCTCTGCTGTCTCCCTCCCAGCCCTGCCGGTGCCCCTCACTCGCGACCCGCAGCCCCCTGCTAGCCTGCCCCTGCGCTTTCCCCATCTCCAGGCCAGGCCAGAGCAGAAACTGCTGGAAAAGGCTGGGGTTGGTGTAGTGGGGAGCCCCCCATAGCGCCCCCTGTAGGGAGAGGACAGGCTCGGGTGATTCTGGGGGGCTGGGGGTGTCTCCATCTCTCATGGGTCTAACCGGCTCCGCCCCCCCCCGACCCCCTCGATCCCAGCGTCACCATGAGCCCTGTCGCCTTGAGCCGGCTGCTGGCGGCAGCGATCCTGGTCCTGGCGCTGGGGGACCCCACGGCCGCCTGCAGCTGCGCCCCCCAGCACCCCCAGATGGCGTTCTGCGAGGCCGACGTTGGTGAGTGACCTCTGACACCACCCCCTGTCCCCCAGCACCCCTCTGAGCCCCCCATCCCCCAGTACCCCCTGCTGAGGCTGCCCCCCTTCCCCCAGTACCCCCTGTCCCTCAGCACCCCCAGACAGCGTTCTGCCAGGCTGACATCGGTGAGTGACCCCTGACCCCACCCCCTGTTCCCAGCACCCCTCTGAGCCCCCTGTCCCCCAGTACCCCCTGCTGAGCCCCCCATCCCCCTGTCCCTCAGCACCCCTCTGAGCCCCTCTGCCCCCAGTCCCCCCTGAGCCCCCCATCCCCCAGTACCCCCTGCTGAGCCTCCCCCTCCCCCAGTACCCCCTGTCCCTCAGCACCCCCAGACAGCGTTCTGCCAGGCCAACATCGGTGAGTGACCCCTGACCCCACCCCCTACTCCCAGCACCCCTCTGAGCCCCCATCCCCCAGTATCCCCTGCTGAGCCCCCTTCCCCCGTCCCTCAGCACCCCTCTGGCCCCCTGCCCCCGTACCCCCCTCTGAGCCCCCACCCCCGTACCCCCTCTGAGCCTGCCCCCATCCGCCAGTATCCCCCCGCTGAGCCCCCCCCCTCTGTCCCTCCAGCACCCCCAGATGGCGTTCTGCCAGGCCAACATCGGTGAGTGACCCTGAACCCACCCCCTGCCCCACAGCACCCCTTGAGCCCCCCATCCCCCAGTACCCCCTGCTGAGGCCCCCCCCTCCCCGCCCCGTGGCCCTTTCAGCACCCCGTCGGTGAGCTACCCATCCCCCAGCATCCCCCGCTGAGCCCTCCCCGCCCCCAGCATTCCCCAGATGGCCGTTCTGCCAGGCTGATGTCGGTGAGTGACCCCTGACCCCACCCCCTGCCTCCCACAGCACCTCTCTGAGCCCCCCCATCACCCTGAGTACCTCCTGCTGCCAGGCCCACATTGGTAGTGACCTCCCCAATGCCCCACACCCCATGCACAGTTCCCGGCCGACGTCATTTTTGCAGCTCCCCCAAACACCCATAAATGCTTGGGCCCCTCCCCCCGAGCTATCAACCCCCCCCCCCGAGCTGAGACGTCCCACCCCCGCCCCCGCTGACCAACCAGGGAGCGCTCCCCCTGTGCCCCAGCGTCAGTATAGCTATTATCGGAGCTGATGCTGGGGTCACTGCTCCAGCCCCGACGCCCCCTAAGAGTGTGTGTCTGTGTGTGTGGCGGGGGGGATCCTGCTCCCTCCAAGGCGTGGAAGAACCCAAGAGTCCAGAGTCCCAGACCCGGTTCCCCCGGTTGTCTGTGTCATATCGGAGTTGACTCTGGTGGTTTTAGATGCTGTGAGCCTGGAGGGCCGCTCAGGGTGCCCTGACCCCCGTCTCTTTGCTGTGCAGTGATTCGGGGCAAGTTCATGGGGGTCACTCCACTGAACTCCAGCAGCAACACCCAGAAGTTCGAGTCCTGGATTCGCTACAAGATTAAAATCACCAAGGTACCTGCACCCCCCAAACACCCCCCTGCTCCCCACAGCCGGCCCCCACCAACCCCGCTCCGCTCCCCATGGCACCCCCTGCTGGTCCAGGCCAGGACTGGGGTAGCCAGGAGCTCCCCCCAGAGCCAGGCCCCCTGCCCCGCTCCCCACAGCGCCCCCTACTGGTCCCGGCCAGGACTGGGGTAGCCAGGAGCTCCCCCCACAGCCAGGCCCCCTGCCCCGCTCCCCAGAGTGCCCCCTGCTGCTCTGATGTGCGTCTCCCCGCAGACCTACAAGGGGCTCGAGTCCCAGGGGAACGGCATCTTCATAGACTCCTTGGAGCAGGAGACCTTCTGTGGGTACCAGCACCGGGCGCCTCTGAACGGGGAGGAGTACCTCATCATGGGTAAGGCACCCCCATCACCCCAACACCGGCCTGGGGCAGCCCCCGCCCCGGGGACTTCCCAATACCCCTCAGGGCCCCTTGACACCAGCCCCCTTGTGGGGTAATTCCCCCCCATGCTGAGAGATGCCCCCTGCCCCTGGTCACAGATCCACAGGTCTGGAGCTCACTGGAGCGAGCCACTTGACTTCCCCACGTCCTGGGACCGACCCTCAGAGTCTGCAGCCCCCCTGGGTCATGTTGGGAGCCCCTCCCCCCGCAGCGAGTCCCCCCTGGATTGGACCCATGGGGGTAGACACCCCCCCAAAGGCAGCAAAGTCCTCCTGACTTCCTTAATCTGGAGTGACTCTCAGTCAGCCGTGTGAATGCAGAGGTTTATCCGCCTGCCTTTCCTCCAAGCCCCCCCCCCCATCCCTCTCTTCTGCTGAGCGGCCCCCCACGCACCCTGGAGATGGCCCCCTCCCCTCAAACTGCTCTCCCCATTCAGGCCCCCCTCCCTGGCTATGGCCCCCCAAGACACTGCATTCCCCGCCCAGAGGTCCAGTGTGGGTGGATGGGGGGGCTGTGCAGTGCTATAGGGGTGCTCTAGGTGTCCTTAGAGGGCTCTGTGGGTCCATGTGGGGCTCGGGGGGGTTCTGGGGGCTCTGGAGGGGCTGTTGGGTGGATGTGGGTCTGTGAGGCTCTGTGGGATTGGGTGACTGTGGATTTGTGGGGGGGGCCTCTGGGGGGCTACAGGGTCTGGGGGCTGTGGGGGGCTATAGGGGGCTCTGTGGGTCAGTGGGGGGGCTGTTGGTCACTATGGGGCACTGTGCCAGCCACTCCCTCTGCCCTCTCCCCCCAGCTGAGCGGCAGGACAAGCACCTGATTATTTCATTGTGTTCCTTCGTGCGCCCCTGGGGGCCGCATCCCCCCAGCCAGCGCCACGGGATCAGCCAGGCCTATGGACGGGGCTGCACCTGCCAGGTGAGTTCTTGTGGGATGGGGCCTGGGAGGCCTGGGTGGCAGGGGCTGGGAGTTGGGGGGCGAAGGGGCTGGGGGACTGGGGCTGGGAGATGGGGGCCTTGGAGGGCTGGGGGTGTCCCTAACCCCACCTCCTTCCCTCCCCCAGGTGATGCCATGTAACATCAGGCCTGGTGGGGGGAGATGTGGGGCTTGCGGGGGCCGGGTCTATGCGGGATGGGTGCGTCCTAGGGGGGCCTCTGTGGGTCGGTGGGGAAATCTATGTGGGGTGGGCGTGTCTCTCCCTAACTCCACCCACCCTTCCCCCCCATGACTGCCACACAAGTGGGGGGATAGGGTTCAGGGGGCAAGGTCTATGCCATAAGGGTGGGGTTTGTGGGTGGGCGTGGCTCTCTCTAACCCCGCCCCCTCCCCAGGTGGTGCCCTGTGAATTCAGGCCATGCGAGCTGTTGGGCGACGCCCAGTGCCTCTGGACCGATGGGCTGCTGGACCAGAGCTGGCAGGGGCCCCAGGCCCAGCGTCTGGCCTGCCTGCCCCGCCCCAGCCAGGGGGCGCCCCCGGAGCCGACCCCCTTCTGCATCTGGGAGACTCTCAAGAGCAGACCCTCAAGAGCAGCGATCTGCCCTGGACTGTGCCCCCTCCGAAACACCCCCTGACCTCCACCCCAACCCCCTGAACTGTCACCCCCTCTCCCTTTGACCCACCCCGAACTTTATTCCCCGACCCAAGCTCGGGCTCGGTTAAAATGGTGTTGCTGAGTTTGATTCTTAAATAAATAAATTGCTGGAACCCAGATCCGTGCTGTCGTCTGCCGGCCCAGGGCTGGGGAGCGTGAGAACCCCTTGCACTGAGCCTCAGGCCCAGCTCCCCCTGGCACATACCCCAGAGCACCCCCATGCTCCAATTCCTGGCTGCTCCCCTGCGCCCCAATCCACTGCATCCCCAGGAGTGGAGTTCTGTATGTACAGCTCCTGAGATGCAGCCACCTCTGGGGCAGGGCAGCTGGCAAATAGACACACATAACCTTACATGGGGACAGCTTGCCCGGCGCCTACATGCAGCCACCTCTGTGGCGGGGTGGCCCTTTGTGGGTGGGTGGGGAAATATATGTGGGGTGGGCGTGCCTCTCCCTAACCCCACCCACTCTTTGCCCCCATGCCCGGATTAGGATTGGGAGTGGATTGGGGCCAGGACTAGGAGTCCTGGCTCCTAGTCCCCACTCCCCTCCCAGAGCTAGGGAGAGAACCCAGGAGTCCTGGCTCCCAGCCCCTGTCTTGTGCTCTAACTACTAGTCCTCACTCCCTCCCAGAGCTGGGGAGAGAACCCAGAAGTCCTGGCTCCCAGCCCCCCTGCTCTAACCCACCAGAGCCCCACTCCCCTCCCAGAGCTGGGAAAAGAACCCAGGAGTCCTGGCTCCCAGCCCCCACTGCTCTAACCCACTAGACCCCACTCCTTTGCCAGAGCTGCGGAGAGAACCCAGGAGTCCTGGCTGTGTGCAGATGAGGGGTTGGATCTACCGGCTCCAGGCCGGGGCCCGGTGTGATGTCACAGTGGGTCTCCATGGGGTGGTTCTAGAACCTGGGGCAGCTGGGAGACATCAGGGCAAGGGGCGGGTGTGCGGCTTGGGGGTCACTGGGGTGCCGGGGTGCTGCAGGGCCTGGTAAGCGCCCCACTGAGCCGCTGCCCCTAGGGGACCTGTTCAGCATCGCCTTCCCACCAGGGAAACAGAGGCATGGAAAGGCTTGGGGACAAGTACCTTAGAGTGGATGGGGCTGGGAGCCAGGACTCCTGGGTTCTATTCTGGGGGCATCTAGTGGTTAGAGTGGGGGAGGGGGACGGGTGGTAGGAGCCAGGGCTCCTGGGTTTTCTGGGAGGAGAGTGGGGTCTCGTGGATTAGAGCAGGGGGTCTGGGAGCCAGGACTCCTGGGTTCTTTGCCAGCTGTATGGGGGAGGCCAGGGTCATGCTTCTCACCTTCGTCCTGCCTCCGTTCCCTCGCCTTTCTCTCCCCCCGCAGGTGGCACGGAGGGTGCGGGGCCCCGAACCCGGCGTCCTCGCCCTGGCATGAGGGCTCTGGCCCTGCTTCCCGTCCTGGCCTGCCTGAGTGCCGGGGCCCGGGGCGAGGTGTTCAGTCGCTGTGAGCTGGCCCGGCTGCTGCAGAGAGGGGGGCTGGACGGGTTCATGGGGTACCGCCTGGACAACTGTGAGTGCCCATCCCCCGTGCTCCTCCCCCCTCATCCTGCCTCCGGCTCTTGCCCTAGAAGGCTCCCAACAATTTGTCCCCCCAACTATGCTGAATGGGGTCTAGTGGTTAGAGCAGGGGGGGCTGGGAGCCAGGACTCCTGGGTTCTCTCGCTGGCTCTGGGAGGGGAGTAGGGTCTCGTGGTTAGAGCAGGGGTGGACTGGGAGCCAGGACTCCTGGGTTCTCTCCCTGGCTCTGGGAGGGGAGAGGGGTCTCGTGGTTAGAGCTGGGGGGGCTGGGAACTGGGATTCAATTTGTCAGTATCTGTCTCACCAGTGCCAGCTACAGAGGCAAAACCGTCTCCTGACTCCCAGGCATCTCCCTTCTGTTTGCCCGTCCCAGGATTTCATGAGCCCTGTTTTCCCCGCCATGGCCCGGGTCACTCAGGTTGAGTTCCTTGTCCACGGGGGACCCCCTAGATCCTATCCAGGGTCCCTGCTTTGCACGATTCAGTCCCCAGTTAGGCTGGCCTTCCTCCTTCCTCGGAGTACGGCCTGGCTCAGGTCCGTATGGGTTGAACGGGCCCAACTGACCGAGCCGGCCCGGCGTCACTTCTCTCTGCCTCCAGCCACGCTCTGGGCTCTCAGCTGCTCGGGGTCCCCCTTGCCAGCTGGGAGGGATGGAGACCCCCTTTCTCTTTGCCCTGGAGGCCAAGGGGCTGCTTGAAATGTCTCCCCCCCGCACACCTGCCCCCCAGGGCTCTGCCTGGCTTTCTACGCCAGCCGCTTCAACACGGGGACCGTGATGGAGAACTCGGACGGCAGCTCCGACTACGGGATCTTCCAGATCAACAGCCGCCGGTGGTGCAGTGACCAGCGCAGCCGCACGCTGGACCTGTGCCAGACACGATGCCGCGGTACGGCCCCCCTACCCCCAGGGGAGAGGGGGGCAGGGACCCCAGCCCCACAGGGCCACCTTGCTGGGCGAGGTAGGGACTGGGAGAGTCTGGGATAGCTAGATAGAGTGGGGGGATGGGGATAGATGGATAGATAGATAGAGGGGGTGCATGGTGTCACGGAGTCCCTGGGCGATGCTCTGGAACTGCTCCCCATGAAGCCAGTCAGGACTCTGGGGCAGTCGCCTTCCTGTGAGCAGCCTGTCTACAGGACACACAGCTCCCCCGGCTTCCACCTTCCTGGGTCTGACCTCGGAGCATTCAGCATCCTCTGCCCCTCCGTGCGCTTCCCACAGCGAGTCCGGGGCTCCTGGGGAAGCCAGAGGGTCCTGCCCCCCAACTTTGCAGACAGACGTGACTCTCAGCCAGCCAGTAAAACAGAGGTTTATTAGACGACAGGAACATGGTCTAACACAGAGCTTGTAGGTGCAGAGAACAGGACCCCTCAGCTGGGTCCATTTTGGGGGGCAGGAAGCCAGACAACCATGTCTGCCCTTCACTCCATGTCTCCAGCGAGTCCCAAACTGAAACTCCCTCCAGCCCCCCCCCTCCTCTGGGCTTTGTCCCTTTCCCGGCCAGGAGGTCACCGGATTCCTTTGTTCTCCAACCCTTTAGCTCTCACCTTGCAGGGGGGAAGGGCCCAGGCCATCAGTAGCCAGGAAACAGGGTGTCGGCCATTCTCTGTGTCCAGACCCCTGCACACCCCTGCCCTCTAGGGCTCTGCAGTGATCATACACCCTTACCCCACCACCGAGATACTTAAGAACTGCCTAGGGGAAACTGAGGCACCCCCACACTATTCAGAGGAAACATTAAGAACAGTCCCACTTCTTCACATATGGGGATAGATAGATGGGGTGCATGGGGATAGATAGGTGGGGTGGATGGGGATGGATAGATAGATGGGGGGATGGGGATGGATAGATAGATAGATGGGGGGATAGATAGATGAGGGGGATGGGGATGGATAGACAGAGGGGGTGTACAGGGATGGGGATAGATGGGGCGGATGGATAGATGGATGGGGTGGATGGGGATGGGTAGATAGATGGGGGGATGAGGATGGATAGATAGAGGGGGTGGATGGGGATGGGTAGATAGATGGGGGGATGAGGATGGATAGATAGAGGGGGTGGATGGGGATAGATGGATAGAGGGGGTGGATGAGGATAGATATATAGATGGTGGGGGATGGGGATGGATAGATAGATAAATGGGGGGGATGGGGATGGATAGATAGATAGATGGGGGGGGGGGGAGATGGGGATGGATAGGTAGGACTTGGCTTTCCCCAGCCATGTGGCCTTTCCTAGCATGACAGACAAACCAGAGTTCAATAACCCAGCTGCTCCACTCCAGAGGTGGCTGCATTTCCGCACCGGGTGAAGCAGCCCCGTGCAGTGTAGATTTGTCTGGTCCAAGATAGCTGGCCCGGGGGCCTGCACGGGGGGCCTGCCCAGCAGGGGAATCAGGGTCCACACATCCTGACCCCCTTCACACCACATCTCATTCTTTCCCCACAGATTTACTGACTGCGGACCTAGCGGATGACATCAACTGTGTCAAGAAAGTCGTGATGGACTGGCAGGGGATGGGGGCCTGGTATGGGAAAAATTATCTCTCTATCCCCACCCACCCCCTCTATCTATCTATCTATCCCCCCCATCTATCTATCCCCATCCACCCCCTCTATCTATCTATCTATCTATCCCCCCCATCTATCTATCCCCATCCACCCCCTCTATCTATCTTTCTATCTATCTATCTCCACTCTTAGCTCTGTCTTTTTGCAACCCTGAGAATCACTGCACAATACAACAAATGGACGGATTACGTAGCACAAATGGACGGATTACGTAGCAAGTGCAGTGTGATCCATGGTGTTACATAATGTAACACCACACAGGATAATGTAGAACTGACGCTCATTGCGGGATGAGCCATCCCTGTTATGTGCAGCTGTTCTGCAGCCACTCTCCCCCAGAGGCGGCTGCATCGCAGCGTAGGGCGAGCCGTCCCCAGGTGGCGTTATGTGCGGCTGGTCCCCTGCTGCCCTGCCCCAGAGGTGGCTGCATCTCAGTGTCTTCTTTGCTTCTGTCCCCTGACCTTTCTTCTCTGCCCTGTCAGGATGCCGTGGCGCGACCATTGCAAGGGCCGGGACCTGAGTCACTGGGTGGCTTCCTGCAACCTGTGATCTGGCCAGAGGACCTCGGCGCCCATCTCCAAGGACCCAGCTGGCTTCTGCATCCGGCTCCGACAGCGGGGCTGGGCGAGGGGCCCCCCACGCACAAAGGAGAGTTAGACACCGGGGATGGGGAAGGGGAAGGTCAATAAACCTGTCCCTTCGAGCGCCGAGTTCGCTGGGCTTGTGGGGTCCCTGGGGTCGGGGCAGGGGGCCGGCATGGGGCGATAGGGTGTCCGGAACGGCAGGGGGCCCTGTCACTGCAGCCAGAGGGACCCCGAGGGAGTTCCAGATGCTGGGGTAAGGGAAAGAGGATGGGGAGAGGGGTCTGATCAGCGAGGGAAGTGTCCCGATGGCGAAAGCAGCCCCAAAGTGTATACCATGTTCTCCCTCTGTGTGCCCCTGCTGCCCCCTGCTGGAGGGGACTGTCCCTGTGGTGTGTGTGTGTGTGTGTATGTCCGTGGTGCCCCCTGCTGGAGGGGACAGACCCTGCAGTGTGTGTGTGTGTGCGTGTCCCCATCCCCTGCTGCCTCCTGCTGGAGGGGAGGAGCCCTGCTCTCTGTGTGTTCATGGCTTCTCTGAGTTCAAGGCCAGAGGAGCCCCGCTCACCCAATCTGAGTTCTGGATCTCACCGGCCACCCCCTGGCGCCAGCGCCCCAATCCCCGTGGCCGAATGAGACCCACGTATCAGAGCCCACGGGAGATGAGACTGCGCTGTGCAGAGAGGTGGAACCGGGGTGCACCAACGCCCGAGGCCCCCCAATGGCTGGGCAGAGATTAAGGGAGAGACACCCAGATAATCCCGGTGAATGACCCACATCCCACACTGCAGAGGAAGGGGAACCCCTTCCCCCTGCCAGGTCCCTGCCAAATTGACCAGGGGAAAAATTCCTTCCTGACCCCTGTCAGTGGCCGGTGGGAGCCCTGAAGCATGAACATTAGGGACATATGATGTAACCCAGAAGGGAGCCCCAGGGCAGCTGAGCCCTGTCCCTGCTCTCACAAGCAATGTCGGCCTGTGACTGCCCTCATCCGCTCGCTTTTCAAAGTAGTTTTTCAAAGTAGCCCCCCTCCTAGTGGGGGGCTGGTCCCGAGCCTCACCCTGCTGATGAGTAGAAACCGTTTTCTAATTTCCAGCCTGAATTTGTTTGTGGCATGTTTCTGCCCATTTGTTTAGATCGCCCCTTAGCTTCCGTCACTCTTCTCCAGCCCCGGGGCTTAGCCCCCCCCCCCCATGTAGCTATCGAGAGTAATCAGAGCCCCCTAGAGCCTTCTTTTTGCTCCCCTAAACAAGGCAGCCTCCCCCAGTTTCCTCCATCCCCCTGGTCAGCCCAGCTGCCTGGTCTCCGCACCTGGGCTGGTTTGGGTTCCTCTTGCCGATTTCCTTCCGTGACGTCCTGAGACGTGAGCTGGAGACATGTGGGCTCAGCAGAACTACCATTAAGTGGCTCTATAAATGGTTAAACAACCGCAAACGAAGAATCATTATTAATGGAAGGAGGAGGGATTGGAGGGCGGTCTTGAGTGGGAACCTCCCTCCAGGAATGGCCAGACTGGGTCAGAGCAAAGGTCCATCTAGCCCAGTGTCCTGTCTTCCGACAGTGGCCAGTGAATGAACAGAACAGGGAATCATCCAGTGATCCATCCCCAGGGCCCATTCCCAGCTTCTGGCAAACAGAGGCTTGGGACCCCATCCCTGCCCATCCTGGCTAATAGCCATTGATGGACCGATCCTCCATGAGTTTAGCTAGTTCTTTTTTGAACCCTGTTATAGTCTTGGCCTTCACACCATCCCCTGACAAGGAGTTCCACAGGTTGACGGTGCATTGCGTGAAGAAATACTTCCTTTTTTTGTATTAAACCTGCTGACCTGTTAATTTCATTGGGTGAGCCCTAGTTCTTGTGTTTTGAGAAGGAGTAAATAACACTCCCTGATTTGCTTTCTCCACACCAGTCATGATTTTATAGACCTCAATTGTATCCCGCCTTAATCGTTTCTTTTCCAAGCTGAAAAGTCCCAGTTTCGTTAATCTCTCCTCATACGGAAGCCGTTCCAGACCCCTCATCATTTTTGTTGCCCTTTTCTGAACCTTTTCTGGTTCCAATCTATCTTTTTTTGAGATGGGGCGACCACATCTGTACGCAGTGTTCTAGATGTGGGTGGGCCATGGATTTATATAGAGGCAATAGGATATTTTCGGTTTTATTCTCTATCCCTTTCCTAATGACTCACCATTCTGTGCGATTTTTTGGCTGCCGCTGTTTTCAGAGAACTCTCCACCATGACTCCAAGGTCTTTTTCTTGAGTGGCAGAAGCTAATTTAGAGCCCATCATTCTCTATCTCCCCACAGGGATGTGTTCTGGGCCCGGTGTCATTTAACAGCCGTAGGGATAGAGAGCAGACTGATCCAATCTGCAGATGACACAAAGCGAGGGGGGATTTGCAAACCCTTGGGAGGACAGAATTAAAAGTCAAAGGGATCTTGATAAATTGTAGGACTGGGCTGTAGCCAGCAACATGAAATTCAACAAGGTGCCCCACTTAGGGGACTAATTTAATAATGGGCTCTTCAATCTGGCAGACAAAGGTCTAAGTGACAACAGGACAAGTGCAGAGTCCTGCACTTAGGACGGAAGAATCCCAGGCACCACTACAGACTAGGGACCGAATGGCTCGGCAGCAGTTCTGCAGAAAAGGACCTGGGGGTTACAGTGGACGAGAAGCTGGATATGAGTCAGCAGTGTGCCCTTGTTGCCAAGAAGGCCAATGACATTTTGGGCTGTATAAGTAGGGGCATTGCCGGCAGATCGAGGGACGTGATCGTTCCCCTCTATTCGACATTGGTGAGGCCTCATCTGGAGTCCTGTGTCCAGTTTTGGGCCCCCCACTACAAGAAGGATGTGGACAAATTAGAAAAAGTCCAGCGGAGGGCAACAAAAATGATCAGGGAGGCTGGGGCACATGACTTACGAGGAGAGGCTGAGGGAACTGGGGTTATTTAGTCTGCAGAAGAGAAGAGTGCGGGGGGATTTGATCGCAGCCTTCAGCTCCCTGAAGGGGGGCTCCAAAGAGGATGGAGCTCGGCTGTTCTCAGTGGTGGCAGATGACAGAACGAGGAGTAATGGTCTCAAGTTGCAGTGGGGGAGGTCTAGGCTGGATATTAGGAAACACTATTTCACTAGCAGGGTGGTGAAGCCCTGGAATGGGCTCCCTAGGGAGGTGGGGGAATCTCCATCCTTAGAGGTTTTTAAGGCCCGACTCGACAATGCCCTGGCTGGGAGGATTTAGTTGGGGTTGGTCCTGCTCTGAGCAGGGGGTTGGACTACATCAGGGGTAGGCAACCTATGGCACGCGAGCCAAAGGCAGCACGCGAGCCGATTTTCAGGGCACTCACACTGCCCGGGTCCTGGCCACCGGTCCCGGGGGCTCTGCTGCTGGCCTGGGGTACTGGCCGCCGGCCCCCTGCCAGCCGGGGTTCCATCCGCCGGCCCTGCTCAGCCCGCTGCTGGCTCTGGGTCCTGGTCACCGGTCTGGGGGGCTCTGCTGCCAGACTGGGGTCCCGGCCGCTGGCCCAGGGCTCTGCAGCCGCCCCCAGCTGTGGCCCACTGGCCCCAGCCTGGGGCAGTGCAGGGTGCAGACAGGGGCAAGAGGGGGCGCAGCTCAGCACCCCTACTTTAAAAACTGTTCCAGCACCAGTGTGCTGGGATATTTTTAGGTCCTGATTCGCTGCTGACGTCACTCTCACGCCACGCGGACCCGCGCGCTGCCTTGGACGTTGAGACTGGAATGTACGTGCAAGAACCGGAATCAGGATTTTCTGACAGATCTCAAGATTTCCAGCGATTTGGCCCAAGGCTTTCTTTTCTAATTCAACCTGAAAAGTTCAACGAAAGGGACTTGGATTTGTCAGTATTTCAGTGGATGGGGGTTGAAGATTTCGAAATGCAGCTCGTTCAGTTAAAAAGCTCAGAATTGTGGGCATCAAAGTTTGGAGATCTGCAGAGTGCACTTGAAGCTACCGAGAGAGATCACGGGGCCTCTGGTCTGACCTGCTGGACGTCCCTGCCTGTGAAATTTAACAGTTTGAAGAAAATTGCGTTTGCAATGCTTTCAGCATTTGGATCCACATACCTGTGTGAACAGGTATTTTCACACATGAAATCTGTCCTCTGTCCCTCTCGGAGCCAGTTAACAACTGATCACTCAGAAGTGTGTGCAGCTTAAAGTATCCAAATACCTGCCAGACAGTGGAAAACTCGGCAAGGAAAAGCAAGGGCAAGGATCACACTAAACTGATAAGATCTGCATTTTAATTTAATTTTAAATGAAGCTTCTTAAACATTTTAAAAACCTTATTTACTTGACATACAACAATAGTTTAGTTCTGTATTATAGACTTATAGAAAGAGACCTTCTAAAAACGTTAAAATGTATCCCCGGCACGCGAAACCTTAAATTGGAGTGAATAAATGAAGACTCGACGCACCACTTCTGAAAGGTTGCCGACCCCTGGACCAGATACCTCCTGAGGTCCCTTCCAACCCTGATCTTCTGTGATTCTAAGTTGAAGCTAGTCAAATTCAGCCTGGAAAGAAGGTGTCGTTTTTCTAGCAGAGCAATTACCCGTCGGGACACTTTCCCAAAGGGTGCGTGGAGTCTCTCTCCCTGGCCGTTTTGAAATCAAGCTGGGCCGTGTTTCTGCTCCGGGAGTTATTGTGGGGAAGGTCTCTGGCCGGGCAGACAGGAGGTCAGACTCAAATCACAAAGGCCCTGGAATCGGTCGATCTACCAGCAGAGGGCGAATGGCTCTTGGGAGCGACCTACCACCCCACCCCTTAGTGAACGATCGGGCATAGATCGGAGCCAGGGGATCCCCGTGAAACGCCCTGGGCCCGCTGCCCGTCGGCACCGAGAGATCCTTGGGTCGCACTCCGGCCTGGCTCCAGCTGAAGTCACCCCTGATTGCAGTGGGGGTAGGGTGGGAATCTGACCTCACCCCCGCCCCCTGGGTCAATCCGGAGTCACTCCCTCTCATGGAACCCCAAGGGGTGGTTCTAGAACATGGGGCCTTCATGACACCACAGGGCGTTCTAGAAGGGAGGCCACGACCCCCGGCCACGGAGAGCAGGGCGGGCCCCATACAGCTCCCAGCCACTGCCCAGCACCCTCCTGGCCATCTCCATTCGCCCGTCAGCCACTGCCCAGCACCCCTCTGGCCATCCCCATACACCCCCCTTCTCTCTCTCCATCTTTCTCTTTCCAGTGCCGCCCCGACGGTGCCGTTGGCCTGTTCCTGGAGCGCCCCCTCAGCTCCCCTCGGTCTGCAGTCCGACTGCCCCCCGACCCCAGCCCTGCGGGGATGGGGGTCCTGGGGCTGGTGACCCTGCTGGCTTGCCTGAGCACGGAGGGCCGGGGGAAGATCTTCACCCGCTGCGAGCTGGCGCAAGAGCTGCAGGAGAACGGGATGGACGGATACGAGGGCTACAGCTTGGCCAACTGTGAGTGAGCCCTCCGCTGTGTCCCACGGGCTCTTCTATGGGGCTGCGGGTCCCTCCGCATCACCCCCATCATGGGACCTCCCTATGGGGCTGTGGGCCCCTCCTGCACCATTTCCCGTGGGACCTCCCTATGGGGCTGTGGGCCCCTCCCACATCACCCCCCTCATGGGACCTCCCTATGGGGCTGTGGGCCCCTCCTGCACCATTTCCCATGGGACTTCCCTATGGGGCTGTGGGCCCCTCCCGAATCACCCCCCCCATGGGACCTCCCTGTGGGGCTCTGGGCCCCCTCCCACACCACTCCCTGTCTCTCTGGGGCTGTGTCCCCCCCACACTGCTCCCCATCTCTAAGGGGCTGCGCCCCCCCACCGCTCCCCGTCTCTCTGGGGCTGTGTGCCCCCCCCCCACCGCTCCCCGTCTCTCTGGGGCTGTGCCCCCCAGGGGTCTGCCTGGCGTTCTACGAGAGCGGCTTCGACACGGCGGCCGTGGGGGCCAATGCGGACGGCAGCACCGACTACGGCATCTTCCAGATCAACAGCGGCTGGTGGTGCCAGGACGCCCAGAGCCCGTCGGAGAACCTGTGCCACGTGCGCTGCCAGGGTGAGGCCGCCAGGGGGCGCCAGGCTGCAGGGGGTGGGAGGCTGGAGGTCAGTGGGGGGCTCAGCGGGGGGCACCGTGCTGCAGGGGTCGGGCAGGGGGTCAGTGGGGGGCTCAGCAGTGGGGCGCTGGGCTGCAGGGGGCGGGTAGGAAGCTCAGTGTGGGGGGCACCATGCTTTGGGGTCAGTGGGGGGCACAGCGGGGGGGGGCGCCGTGCTCTGGGACATTCCTGTGCGACGCCCAATCAGGCTTCTAATCACTCCTGCCTCCTGAAGCCCCCCCAGGATCTGGGGTATGTTCCTGGCCTGCTGAGCCGCGCCGGGGGCCGCGTTACGGGCTGCGGTGGGAACAGGCACCCTTCCCTTCAGCGGGCACCGGGGGGGGCAGCGGGGATTCGGGGGGGAGGGGGGTGGATTTGGCTGAGGTGTGGTTGGAGCAGATCTGACCCCCTCCCCTTTCATCCCAGCCCCCCCAACTCTGCAGCCTCCCCGAGGGGGCCCATCCCTGCCTTACCCTCCCACCTTTGCTACTAGATTTACTGAACCCCGACATCAAGGACGACATCAACTGTGTGAAGAGAGTGGTGCAGGATCCTCAGGGCATGGAGGCTTGGTAAGGGGGCTCCCTGGGGGTGGGATATTCTCAACAGAGGAGCTCTGCATCTGGGCACCGGGCAAGACCTCCCCATGAGGCGTTGTGTGTGGGTGTTCGCCAGATGCCCCGCCCCAGAGGTGACTGCATCTTAGTACTGGGCAAGACAGCCCAATGTGGTGTTATATGCGGCTGTTCTCTGACTGCCCCATCCCAGAGGTGGCTGCATCTCAGCACCGGGCAAGCCATCCCCATGTGTGGCCGTTCTCCATCTGTCCCACCCCAGAAGTGACTGCAGCTCAGCGCCGGGTGAGCCCTCCCCATGGGTTATCTATCAGCGCTACTGTGCTGGTGAACCGCCATCTCATCTGTCACTTCCCCTCCCTCAGGGACGACTGGAAGAACCACTGTGAAAAGCAGGACCTGACCGAGTGGATTGAGAGTTGTAATCTGTGAGGCCTGAGCGTGTCTCCCCCTTGGGGGGGGGGGGGCGGTGTCTGTCCACACTGTGTCTGTCTGTTTGTTCACACGAATGCTCCCTGCACTGAGCAATCTCGAAGGAATTTATAAACCCCGTTGGATGAAATCTTCTTGCTGTGTTTCTCTGGTCAGACGCCCGCGCAGGCTGGCAGGGCCCCCAAGAACCCGGTCTGAGACCCTGTGAAGTGAAACCAGTGAAGTGAAGTGAATGAAAACCCTCCAGTGAAAACAGATCAGGCCCCTGGGCCCACCCCAGCCCGGTATCCAGTGCCAGAACCAGCAAAGGAAGCTGGAACCCCTTCCCCACCCGTTGCCCACACCCCTTCCATTCCCTGTTACGGAGGAAAACCCCTCCTGAGCCCCAGCCCCAGGGCAGCTGTGCCCTGAAGCATGAGGATAGCCCGGTTTCTTTCAATGTGGATGCTAATATCCCTTCTACCCGGCTGAAATACACAGTGGGAGAGATCCCTGCCACCGCTGTGAGACAAGCTGTGTTTTCACGAGGGAAACTGAGGCACGGAACAAGTAGTGACTTGCCCAAGTTCAGACAGGTTGTCTCAGAGCTGGGAGGGAAGACAGGGGCTTAGAAAGGCCTTAGCCCCCCTACTGCCTCTCCTCCCAGCTGTGGCTGCATCTGTGTGCTGTGCGAGATGTCCCTGCGCAGCTACTAACTCGTCCCAGAGCTGGGGAGAGAACCCAGGAGTCCTGGCTCCCAGCTTCCCTTGCTCTAGCCACCAGACCCCACCCCTCTCCTGGAGCTGTGGATAGAACCCAGGAGTCCTGGCTCCCAGCCCCTCCTGCTCTAACCACTGGACCCTCCCGCTGTTGCAATGGTCCCTCCCTGATCCAGGTGTCCCATCTGTCGGGCTCCTGTAGGGAGGAGCGGGACTTTCAGGGGTGAGTCTGTTGCCGGCACCCAGTGCCAGAGGCGAACAACAGCAGGGGTTGGTTCGCTACCCGGTGTGCTACACCCAATAATCACAACGGGGTGGAGAAGCAGAAAAATTTATTTGCAGCTACAAAAAGGTACAGGGAGAATAAAATCTCAAATCCTGCGACCAGAGCAGGAAGTTACACAGGCTTTTATACATCCTTTTTTCCAGCATACTTATTTAATAGCAAGCTGCCCTAAGTATCCATCTAGCCAGCCAATCCAGTTCCCAGCTAGTTCCCTTGTTTTCTGTATCATTTGTTAACCTATACATAAAGCTGCTTTATTTAGCATTGTTCTTCCATATCTGCCCTGTTCGGCCTTGCTTAGTTTCAGGCACTCTGATTCTGCAACGTATTGTTGCAGATCCTCAGCATAACTGCTGCGAGTGCCTCCAGGCGGGGGGGCCAAGGACACTTGGGCCTAGTGCGAGGGGGCTTCATCGACTCGTGTCGTTTTCCATCCCTTCGAGTTACCTAGTGGCCATGCCTCAGTGTCCCCAACAAGTCTGTTTGCGGAGCCTGCCGGGATGGAGACGGGAGGTGCGACCGAGGCCCAGCGGCGGAGACTCCAGGCCGCCCCAGTGAACTGGGCAAGGTGGGCTTCCAGCCGTCCTGCCTCTCCCCAGCTGCAGCCCGGGGCACGGTCCGACAGCCTCTGGCCTTGGCGATGGGCCGCCCGAGGGAGAGACACGTCTCCCGCAGCAGGGACCGGGTGGGTGGATATAAACCACAGTACAGCTCCTAGCACTCAGTGACCAAGGGTCCGACCTCACAACTCCGGAGGGTAGCGTGGAGGAGGCATTTAAAGAAATGCTACGTGGGGGGGGATGTTATTTCTTTCCTAGTTTTTGAGCCTTTGGTACCCAGCTGATGTGCGGCATCTGGAGGCGCTGGGGGGGAAGGGGGAGGAACGAGGGGGTGGAACTGGGTGGGGAAGGGGTGGCACAGGGGTGTGGCCTGGGCGGAGCTGTGGGGAGCTCCCCCCCCGGCAGATGGACACTGGGCGCCTCTAACCCGGGTCCCCCTGGGGATGGCCCTGCCCCCTGAAAAGCAGCTGGACTCTGACCCCAGCAGCAGGGAACCTACTGGAGCAGGCCCAAAACGACCCCACCCAAATCCGGAAGCTTCTGGATGTGGCTAAATCTGCCTCGCAACAGTGTCCCCGGCACAGCTCCCGCCTGCCTCCCCGCACCGGGCCTCTGACAGAGAGCTGGGGTGACCAGCGCATCGCGGTCCCGCCTGCGACCCCGAGCACCCCGGGGGCGGCCACGGGGGGCCGCTCTGGGGCCACCTCCGAGGAGCAGGGCTGAACTGGGAGGATTATCTGCCTCCACTGATCTCGCTCTCTTTCCGCCTCGCCCTCGCTCAGGAAATGAGCTTGGGCGCGGGTCGCCACTGCATTTCCGGTGCCCGCTTCTGCATCAGCCCACTTCCTGTTGACTCAGCGGGGAGCAAGACCCGCAGAGGACTTGGTAACGTGCCTTGTTTCCATTAGAGGTGGAGACTCAGGGCCCCTTGTCCTAAGAGGCCTAGCTTACATGGCGGAAGCAAGACGGGGCCGAGAATTAAAAGGCGACCCTGCTTTGGTCACACATGAACGAAGCAGTCTTATTTTTGTCATCCCTTGCTGGCCCTGGCTGCTGGGGAGAGATGTGATGAAGTGAGACTGTTCTTAATGTTTCCTCTGAATAGTGTGGGGGTGCCTCAGTTTCCCCTAGGCAGTTCTTAAGTATCTAGGGGGTGGGGTAAGGGTGTATGATCACTGCAGAGCCCTAGAGGGCAGGTGTGTGCAGGGGTCTGGACACAGAGAATGGCCGACACCTTGTTTCCTGGCCACGGATGGCCTGGGCCCTTCCCCCTGCAAGGTGAGAGCTAAAGGGTTGGAGAACAAAGGAATCCGGTGCCCTCCTGGCCCGGGAAAGGGACAAGGCCCAGAGGAGGGGGGGCTGGAGGGGGAGTCGGTTTGGGGCTGGCTGGCGACATGGAGTGAAGGGCAGACGTGGTTTTCTGGCTCACTGCCCCACAAAATGGACCCAGCTGAGGGGTCCTGTTCTCTGCACCTACAAGCTCTGTGTTAGACCATGTTCCTGTCGTCTAATAAACCTTCTGTTTTACTGGCTGGCTGAGAGTCACGTCTGACTGCGGAGTTGGGGGGCAGGACCCTCTGGCTTCCCCAGGACCCCGCCTGGGCGGACTCGCTGGAGGGAAGCGCACGGAGGGGCAGGGGAGGCTGGAGGCTCCGAGGTCAGACCCAGGAAGGTGGAGCCGGGTGAGCTGTGTGTCCTGCAGACAGGCAGCTCACAGAGAGGAGACTTCACCAGAGTCCTGCCTGGCTTTGTGGGGAGCAGTTCCAGAGCATCGCCCGGGGACTCCGTGACAAGGGGGCACAGTCTTCCCATGAGAGTCCCCCAGCAGTTATGCCCCCCTCCGCTGGATTCCCCCCAAGCCCTGATTCGGTCCCCTTCTACTCGGTGCTCGGGTGATCAGATGTCCTGATTTTATGGGGACAGTCCCGATGGTTGAGGCTTTTTCTCACATCGGCGTCTGTTGCCTCCCACCCCTCTCCCAAATTTTTACACTTGCTCTGTGCCCTCTTCCTGCGTGCTTGGCGGCGGGGCTGGCGATCCAAGGAAAGGCTGCTCCTGGAGCGTGGGGTCGGGATCGTTTGTCGATGAGGACTGATTGACCCTCCTCCGTGGGAGCTCAGTGCCCTGAGGCTCTGGGGAGCCTGGATTTTCACGGTTGCGCTCTGGAAGGGAAAAGGAATTATCCAGCACAAGGAAAGAGAATTCTTACGAGATGTAAACCAGAGTAGGACTTTGGGCTATTAAGAGCAATGGCTGAAAAGGGGAAAGCCCAACTGACGCTAGGGGCAAATAATGAAATACGGTCCTTGAAAAGAATCAAACTTAGAAAGCCCCTGATGAGAAAGGGATTAAGGAAATGTGTCGCACAGCATGGAAGCAGCGGAGAAAGTAAAAGCACGGAAATCTGAGCCCCTACTTGGCATGTCCTACGGCTGATCACCGGCAGGCGGGAGGTGCTGGCAGGGAGGGGGAGGAGCTGATCGGAGGTGGGGGGGGCTGCTGGGGGTGCTGAGCACCCCCTACTATTTTCCCGTGGTGTAAGCGAACGCTCCCTGGACTCCATAAAAAAACGGGCCCTCTGATGTAGTGATTGCCTCTTGATTCGTGTTGGTCTTGCGGGGGAACGTTGCGATGGCTGCGACCTTGGTACGAGTGCTCGGTGCTGCAGGATCTGGAGTGCCCCGTCAGAGCGACCCGCACATAACACACCTATGCCCGTGACAATCGGACCAGCTCACTCAGTGCACCAGGACGCGGCCCCCTCGGCTGGGGTGCCCCTCCTCGGACTTCTCCTTTTAGACACTGATACAAACAAGCTACGTACCACGCTCCAGACGCTGCCAGCTAGTTACCACTCGTCTCCTTGAACCTGCTCGTTAGAACAAAACTACTTGATCCATGATCCCGGCACCCTGTCCGTATCTTACCAGGGGGTGGGGGTGTTCCTGGACCACCTCTTAGCAACTGGTTTCCGTAGTTTATGGAGAGACCTGTGTGGTTTTGTACCGTCCTCTGTGGTCAGGAATGTGCTTACTTGGCATTAGATAATACCGAGTGGGTTGTTATTTTGCCAAGGCCAGGCCTAGTCCGGTTCACACTGTTAGTTATGCCAAACTAAGTTTGGATCACTTGATGAGGAGCTGTTCTGTTCATTCCCCCCGGGGCACCTGGCATTGGCCTCTGTGGGAAGACAGGACACTGGGCTCGAGGGACCTTTGGTCTGACCGCGATGGCCGTTCTTCTGCCGAGGGCTCCCGCAAGGCCTACAGTCAGCTTCACAGGCGCCGGCTCTGTGGGTGCTCCAGGGCTGGATCACCCATGGGAAAAAACCCATCACCGACAGCCCCCCTATCAGCGCCTCGCCCTCCCCCCGGTGCCTCCTGCCCGCCGTGGATCAGCTGCTCCGCGGTGTGCGGGTTGTGCTGGGGGGAGGAGCGAGGGCGGGGTGCACTTGGGGGAGGGGGCGGAACGGGGAGGGAAGAGGCGGAGTGGGGGCAGGAGCAGAAAGAGGCAGGGGTGGGGCCTGGGGCGGAGCTGGGGAGGAGCACTCCCCCTCCCATCCAAACCCGGCAAGTGATGTGATGTGACGGCGGTCAGAGCAACGGCATCATCCCGGGTACAGACTCCGTCACTGGGGAGAGCCAGACCCGAGCCCCACGCCGGCGTGCGGATCCAGAATGCCAGTGGCTGTACCCGAGACCCGATGTGTCACGGGCCTTGGTGTCCCTTGTGCACATGTGTGCCCCGCTCCTCCCGCCTTTACCCTCGCTGAACTTCCCCGGAATATCGGGGTGCCCTTGTCCTGCTGGCTAGCGTATCCCTTCGGCAAAGCTCATTAACATATGCATCAATGGAATGACCATGGTTACCTGCACGTAAGCGTCTCCTGATATTCCTAACGGGCACACGCCGCCTTCTTGCGGTGACCTACCAGCGTTTGCTACACTTGTGGTTATTACAAAACACTCAACAAAGTCTTATGCCGTCGTGTGACTTAAGGGCACTGTCAGTTTACTCACTTACGCTAACTGAGGGCTTGTCTCCACTTCGTCCGGCGATCGAGCCACCGGGGGGTGGATTTAGTGGGTCTCGGGTAGAGGTGGGCAAACTACGGCCCGCGGGCCACATCTGGCCCGTGGGACCCTCCTGCCCGCCTCCTGGCCCGGGAGGCTTGCCCCTGGCCCCTCCCCGTGCCGTGCCCCCCTCCCTCGCAGCCTCAGCTCACTGCACCTCCGGCACAATGCTCTGGGCGGTGGGGCTCTGGCAGAGCCGCGGCCTGTCCTCATGCTCTGGGCGGTGCAGTAAGGGGGCAGGGAGCAGGGGTGTTGGATAGAGGGCAGGGGAGTTCGGGGTAGTGCTCAGGGGCGGGGAACAGGGGGGGTTGAATGGGGGCAGGGGTCCCGGGGGGGGGCAGTCAGGAACGAGAGGAGGGGTCGGATGGGGCAGGGGCGGGGGAAGTCAGGGGGGCGGTCAGGGGACAGGGACGGGCGGATGGGGCAGGGGTCCCGTGTCACACCCCAATAGCCCCCTCCCTCAGGTCCCTTGGGGAAGCAGAGTAGTCTGTTGCAAGCATGGCAAAGCGTTACGGCAGGGGTTAAAGGTGGGCGTGGAATGGAAGATTCCTTCGCAGGTTTCTGGAGGCCGAGGAACGGGGCGGGGGGGGGGGGGAAGAGAAAACCAAGAGCCAGAGAGAGAGAGAGAGGAAGCAGAAAGTGGGTTAACTCTGCGCTCCTGCGAAATCCGAATTAAGAGGTTGACTTCAGCCAACTGTGCACTGCTACCTGCCGAGAAAGGCGGGAGGGGGGCCAAGATTTCCACCCTGCCCTGCTGTGAGAACAGAGAGCCACGGAACAAGAAGAGCAGCCATGTTAGTCTGTATTTGCAAATAAATTGGTTAGTCTCTAAGGTGCCACAAGTCATCACGCTCCTTCCTTCCTCTGAGTGACGTGGGAACTGTCCCCATGCTCACCGCTGTTATTTTATTATTGTATCCACAAAGCTTTAAAATTAAATCACACGGTGTGTTCCTGGGTCTCCCCCCGAACGGTCCCGCGGTCTCAGACTGATCAACTGAGGCACAGGCAGATTGGTAACAGAAATCTGTCACAGGGGTCCCGGGAGTCACAGGGGTCAGGGGACAAGGAGCAGGGGGGGTTGGATAGGGGGTGGGCTCCTGGGGGGTAGCTGGGGCGAGGGTGTGGATAGGGGTCAGGGAAGTCAGGGGACAGGGAGCGGAGGGGTTGGATAGGGGGTGGGCTCCCGGGGGGTAGTTAGGGGCGAGGGTGTGGATAGGGGTCAGGGAAGTCAGGGGACAGGGAGTGGCGGGGTTGGATGGGGGTGGGGTCCCAGGGGACAATTAGGGACAAGGGTGTGGATAGGGGTTGGGGCAATCAGGAGACAGGGAGCGGGGGGGTCGGATAGGGGGTGGGGTCCTGGGGGGCAGTTAGGGGCGAGGGTGTGTTGATAGGGGTCAGGGAAGTCAGGGGACAGGGAGCGGAGGGGTTGGATAGGGGGTGGGCTCCCGGGGGGCAGTTAGGGGCGAGGGTGTGGATAGGGGTCAGGGAAGTCAGGGGACAGGGAGTGGAGGGGTTGGATAGGGGGTGGGGTCCCGGGGGGCGGTTAGGGGTAGGGGTCCCGGGAGGGGGCGGTCAGGGGACAAGGAGCGGGGTGGGGGGGTTCGATGAGTTGGAGGTTCTGAGGCGGGCTGTCAGGGGGCAGGAAGTGGGAGGAGGCAAATAGGGGGCGAGGGCCAGGCTGTTTGGGGAGGCACAGCCTGCCCTACCTGGCCCTCCATACAGTTTCACAACCCCGATGTGGCCCTTGGGCCAAAAAGTCCCCCCCCTCCCCGTGCTAGCTGGTCACTCTACACAGGAACACCTTGACTTCGATCACATAAACCCTCTTCCTCAACAAGAGCCAAAACTTTATCCAAACAAACTGAGACATGAGGTTCCAGGATGTTCGTCACTCATTTCTGCAGACGTTTTCGCTTTCTGGTCAAAGAATCCTCCATTTCAAATGAATGTGTATCTCACCTCTTTTGCAGCACTGTGACCTCTTGTAAACGAATAAAATGAAGACAATCCCGAGAGTGAGGCCTAGACCCGAAATCTGGGGAGGAAAACAAATCAGCACATTCAGATTTGTTATTTATATTGGACTTCTTCTTCACAAATGTTTTGGGCCCCCCCACCGTGGGTGGGAACAGCGTGACGTACAGTTTACCGTCCCTGCGCACTGGCAGCAGTGAATCAAACCTTGGAGGTTTTACTGACACATAATCTAGTTACACAAACCTCAGTGTGTAAAATATCATGAGTATAATTTAGCCATCTGGATCCCTCAACTGCCCCGCGCCCCGTAACACATAAACTGCTAACAAAAGTCAAGGGAAAGCAGCATTCTTCTTCTGCATAGTAAAGTTTCAAGGCTGTATTAAGTCCATGTTCAGCGTTTTGTTCAGAGTTACACACATTTTAGAGTCACGAACAGCCTCCATTCCCAAGAGGTTCGTAACTCTGAGGTTCTACTGTACAAACATGGGTGGCAGGTTTGTCTAATTTTTGGTGGTGCCCAAGTGGATCCGTCCCATCTGTAGGACAGACCAGGGCAACCGCCCCGGGCCCTGCGCTTTGGTGGGACCTGCGCTTCCGGGGAATGCGGGGTCCAGGGTGGCCTGGGGGGTTAGCGGGGTGCCTGGCGCCGACAGCAGCGAGCGACCCTGCTCCGCCCCCCACTCCACCTCTTCCCCGAAGCCCCGCCCCTGAGCAGAGCCGGCGAGGTGGAGCGGAGTGGGCTGGGGCCAGGTCCCTCACTGGTGCCAGCCCCAGGCCCCGCGCTAACTCCCCAGGCCGCCCTGGACCCCGTGACCCCCTGAAGCACAAGGCAGGGGTAGGCACCACCATGTTGTGCCACGAACACTTGACAAAATTACCGGACTTAGTGATGGACAATGGGGGCAGGGGGGTATTATGTCATTCAATCATTCAACCCATAAAATAGCACACATTTTGCCACACTGAAAACCCCCCCAGTAACCTAGCTAATAATAATAATTCAACTCATATAATTAATGAAAAATGTGTGTATATTGTATCTGAGATTATATGAGAAATGAAAATGAGCTTGCTTTGGGATTTTACAAGGCCCTTATACCATTTAAACACATTTGGTACCTTGAGTAACGATAACGCTTCTTGCAAATCACATAAATAGGGAACCCAGGGTCCCCTTCCCTCACCCCATTGCAAAGGCAGAGGGGTTATTGCTGGCTGCCCTAGGGCTGCAGAAAACCCCATGGGCAAAACAAATGGAAAGAAGAGGATCAATTTATACAGAGGGCTGAAGGGGACTCCGGGACTGCATCCGATGAAGTGAGCTGTAGCTCACGAAAGCTTAGGCTCAAATCAATTGGTTAGTCTCTAAGGTCCCACAAGTCCTCCTTTTCTTTTTGCAAATACAGACTAACATGGCTGCTACTCGGAAACCTGTCATTATGCAAGGCTCTGCATTTAGCCATAAGGAGTGGAAATCTATCAACTTCATGAAAAAACTCGTACAGATACAGACAGACATCATCTTCCTTTCCAAATGCAAACAGATGGACATCGTACCAAAAGGACTGAAGGTAAAAAATCCATTACAATCTACATACCACACAGACTACGCTGACAGCTTGTGTCACACGCTCTCAAAGAAACTGCCGAACCACCCGATCAACATCCTCTACAGCAAACAGGGAAAGATAAAGAATGAGCTCTCAAAAGTGGATCCTCTCATAAAAAACCAACCTTCCACACAACCTTCCTCGTGGCTGGACTTTACAAAAACTAGACAAGCCATTTACAACACACACTTTGCTTCTCTACAAAAGAAAAAGGACACTAAACTATCTAGGAATGCATCCGATGAAGTGAGCTGAAGCTCACGAAAGCTTAGGCTCAAATAAATTGGTTAGTCTCTAAGGTCCCACAAGTCCTCCTGTCACTATCACTATAGGAGGGAACAATAGAACGGAAAGCCCAGAAGAAGGAATGACTTGCGGACAATTTCCTGACGGGACCCTTACCCTTGCACAGCTTTTCTAGCTCCGACATTTACATTTCTACACAGGGTGGTTTGGCCCACAGAAATAAAAATCTGCACATCTTCCATGTGCTTTTGGACCAATGGGAAAAACCAGGTACAATTCAAGTGACTTTTAAAATTGCCTATGAAACCGAGTTAACAAAATAAATGAGCTTATGAACAACCAGAAAATATACTTCTCAAGTGAAAAAACTATCCATGGACTTCTCGGCAAAGAAATTGTAAGTTTTCTTACAGGAAGAGCCACAAACTGTCTGGAAAGGAAGAGTCCATTTAATTACTTGTCTCAGTGAAATTAAATATCCAGAGAATTGCTGGGCCTGTGATGATGATGACTGGGGCTTGCTCACCTGTGGCTCCCCCGCCCCGTGCAAGCAAGCAGGCCCCCTGCCTCAGGTGCGGCTCCCATTAGCCGTGCTGGCCAATAGACTGGGAGCCTCCCGGCCAATGGGCTGTGGGGTGGCGGGGGGCGGCAAAGGGGGAGATTGTAGGGAGCTCTGGAGCAGGGGAGACAGTGGAGGAGGGGAGATGTCTGGCACAAAGGGGGGGCTCTCTGGAGAGGGGTGATGGAGCACAGGGGCCATTGGGGGTGTTTCAGGGGGGCAGAAGATTGTGTGGGTCTCTGTGGGGCGGGGGGCGGGAGTGATGGACGGAGCCAGCCGCAACCCGGGTCTGCTCTGCAGGGGGGGTGTTGCTATGCCCCCCTCAAGAAGCCCCCTCTGTCCTGTGTATTTTATGCCAGCCACGGGGTGCCCATCGCTGCTCCTTTCCCCGCCCCCGGCTCCATCTGTTTGTCCCCACAACCCCCCGGCTGTGTCTGTCTGACAGTGACAGACTCCTGGGGGTCTCTCTGCCTGTGGCTCCCTCCCCGTCCCCACTCTGGAGGCATGGCCAGGCAGCTCTGGCTCCACACCCCGGAGCTTCCCGGCCAACGGGCTGGGAGCCGGGTCAGTGCTGGGGTCTCTTCGCAGCACACAGCGACTCCGGGGACGGGGGGAGCTGCGTGTGGGGAGGCGGGGCGGGGAGCTGCCCCCCCAGGTGAGAGCCCCCCCCCATTGCCGACCCATGGAGCGGGGCCCCCCAAAGCACGGGGCCTGAGGCCCAAATATTGGTGGAGCTGGGCCCACCTTAATGAATACTGATGGAGCGTGGGCACCATGGGCCCATATAACTCACTGCCTATGCGTACAAATAAACCCCACGAATGGTACCTCTTTTCCTAAGCTAGACAAAGCCGAAAAGTGAAGAAAGAAGCATACGAAACTGTGGTTGTGATCCCATATGTTTCAGTGCTGCTGAGACTTTCTTTTGACAACAGGGGTCACTTGGAAAAATAGTATGTGATCGTGTAATTAAAGACTGCATCATAATGAAGGCAGAATTAAGGCCACACAGGCAACCATAAAGCTGGCATTTCCTAACTTGGGAACATTTGACTTCCAACCTTAATATTCTCTTAATGTGATCTGTTTTACGTATGCTTTGTCTATGGATCTGGTTTGTGTGTTTTTATTTGTTGCCGGAGTGCCGCAAAGCAATACGTTTTAGAAAATGGAAATCAATACATCTCACATAGCATTTGCCAATCATTCTTATACAACGACAGGTTTCAGAGTAGCAGCCGTGTTAGTCTGTATCCGCAAAAAGAAAAGGAGGACTTGTGGCACCTTAGAGACTAACCAATTTATCTGAGCATAAGCTTTCGTGAGCTACAGCTCACTTCATCGGATGCATCTTAAAAACGTTAACATTTCATGGCTGACCCAGGCTTTGGATCAAGGTATTTTTTTCAACCCTGCCTTTGTAACTGTCTCATCTCTGTCAGCTAGTGTCTTTTTAAAAACTGAAAGCTGTTACAGAACTCGTTTTAGCTAGTCAGTATTAAACATTTGAACCTGAAAAAAATTCCAGAATAGACCAAGAATCCAAGACAGCTGAGAACAAAATGCCAGAGATGGTTGAGTTTCTCATAAGAGATCTGTAATGGGATAACCTTACCTGTGATTTTACGTAACTGTCACTGGGCTGTTCCTTATTGTCTGCTGTGATGATTTCTTCAGATGCTTTATACAGACAAGCCACGTATCTTCCATCCAGGAGAAGAATGACAGTCCATATAATAGAAGGCAAGAACGTCTTCCAAAGACAGTGAATATTGCAGCATCCCATGACAGAATTAGGACATTCTGGCTGAAAAGCCAAGCTCAGAAGAAACAAAACCGTAGCTGGCATAAGAAAATAGCAGAGGATGTAACAGACTTTCCAGTAATGAGATAGAGGACATTTAAATTCAAGTTCCATTATTTTTTCGACCCCTAGCAAAATTAATGAGCAAAGTGAAGCAGATGCAATGCCAAATTCCTTTTGCCAAGTCTGCCAAAATTTCTTCAGAATTGCCATTACGCCCCACGAACCAGACCGCTGCTAACTCAGGGCCGAGGAGAGAAACATTGAAACCTTTGGGTTATGTGACTCCTCTCCAGGTGACAAATAATTAAGCATGAGTGAAAATGAAAGTGAAAATGTTAGAGAGCTTATTCCTTCTCTCTCCCACTTCCCTGGTCCTTCGGGCATGAACAGAGAGCAACAATACCCGAGGTTTGAAGGTGCAAACAATTCAATGTTTATTGGGGTCAACTTCCAGCAAGCTTAAATCCAAGTTCCTTTTTCCTTATTTTTGAATCCCAACTTACTTCCTGTTTGCCCCTCATTTATATAGTAATATTCTTAGCTATACCTTAACCAATCATTCTACTGAAATTTACCTAACCAGTCCTAACTTATTGTAACATGATTAGCTAACCAATTATATCCCACCACCTGAATTAGTTTACACCCAGCAAAATTAATTATACAGCAGACAGAAACAATCACAGAACCAGACAGAGACCATGCCAATAAACAATAGCAAAGTGGGAACTATAATGACAAAACAATACAGAAATGAGGATTTCACAACTACATCTATAAAGACATGAGGGTTTCCCAGCTGTGTCTATTGATAAGTGAGTTCTTACCAGACAGAAAACTATCAACCTAAATTTCCTTTTACATCGTCTAGGCTCTTCCCTTTCTCTGGAGGTGATCGATCGGATCCCCTTCCTAACCGCCCCAGATTGACTAGTTTGGGATGTGAGGAGGTGACCGGTCGCTTCTCAGCTTATGGCAGCCTCTGCTACTTGGCCAAAGGCCTTGGCCTAAGAACAGGGCCTCAGACTGTCCCGGTGAGAGAAGGCCCTTACGCAGATTCTTTCTTTTATACCTCTATAACTAGCTAAATGATAAACATACACCTACATTCTTAAAGTCTAGGCCTTTACAGACAGGCCTGAATATCTATATCCTAACAGAAAATATCGCCCTTGTGATGCAGCAGTGGAAGAGCGGTACAGGAGAGATATAAACCCTTGGCTAATTAAGGCGTGGTTCCCTGTAGACTTGGGTGGGTGGCTACAGGTTAATTGGAGCACCTGTAGTCAATTAAGGCCCTCTCAGGAATCTAATAAACCCCCCTGCTTGAGGCAGACAGTGGGGTGCGAGGAAGGAGAGAGGACCGGAGTTTGGGGTGTGTGTGTTGCTGACAATTGAAAGACCAGGGGGATGAGGTGGATGAGGCTTTCTTTCGGCAGCTCGCAGAAGCTACTAGATCGCACGCCCTGGTTCTCATGGGTGACTTTAATTTTCCTGATATCTGCTGGGAGAGCAATACAGCGGTGCATAGATAATCCAGGAAGTTTTTGGAAAGCGTAGGGGACAATTTCCTGGTGCAAGTGCTAGAGGAGCCAACTGGGGGGGAGCTTTTCTTGACCTGCTGCTCACAAACCGGGAAGAATTAGTGGGGGAAGCAAAAGTGGATGGGAATCTGGGAGGCAGTGACCATGAGTTGGTTGAGTTCAGGATCCTGACACAGGGAAGAAAGGTAAGCAGCAGGATACGGACCCTGGACTTCAGGAAAGCAGACTTCGACTCCCTCAGGGAACAGATGGGTAGGATCCCCTGGGGGACTAACATGAAGGGGAAAGGAGTCCAGGAGAGCTGGCTGTATTTCAAGGAATCCCTGTTGAGCTTACAGGGACAAACCATCCTGATGTGTCGAAAGAATAGTAAATATGGCAGGCGACCAGCTTGGCTTAACGGTGAAATCCTAGCAGATCTTAAACATAAAAAAGAAGCTTACAAGAAGTGGAAGGTTGGACATATGACCAGGGAAGAGTATAAAAATATTGCTCGGGCATGTAGGAATGAAATCAGGAGGGCCAAATCGCACCTGGAGCTGCAGCTAGCAAGAGATGTCAAGAGTAACAAGAAGGTTTCTTCAGGTATGTTGGCAACAAGAAGAAAGCCAAGGAAAGTGTGGGCCCCTTAATGAATGAGGGAGGCAACCTAGTGACAGAGGATGTGGAAAAAGCTAATGTACTCAATGCTTTTTTTGCCTCTGTCTTCACGAACAAGGTCAGCTCCCAGACTGCTGCGCTGGGCATCACAACATGGGGAATAGATGGCCAGCCCTCTGTGGAGAAAGAGGTGGTTAGGGACTATTTAGAAAAGCTGGACGTGCACAAGTCCATGGGGCCGGACGAGTTGCATCCGAGAGTGATAAAGGAACTGGCGGCTGTGATTGCAGAGCCATTGGCCATTATCTTTGAAAACTCGTGGCGAACGGGGGAAGTCCCGGATGACTGGAAAAAGGCTAATGTAGTGCCAATCTTTAAAAAAGGGAAGAAGGAGGATCCTGGGAACTACAGGCCAGTCAGCCTCACCTCAGTCCCCAGAAAAATCATGGAGCAGGTCCTCAAAGAATCAATCCTGAAGCACTTGCATGAGAGGAAAGTGATCAGGAACAGCCAGCATGGATTCACCAAGGGAAGGTCATGCCTGACTAATCTAATCGCCTTCTATGATGAGATTACTGGTTCTGTGGATGAAGGGAAAGCAGTGGATGTATTGTTTCTTGACTTTAGCAAAGCTTTTGACACGGTCTCCCACAGTATTCTTGTCAGCAAGTTAAAGAAGTATGGGCTGGATGAATGCACTATAAGGTGGGTAGAAAGTTGGCTAGATTGTCGGGCTCAACGGGTAGTGATCAATGGCTCCATGTCTAGTTGGCAGCCGGTATCAAGTGAAGTGCCCCAGGGGTCGGTCCTGGGGCCGGTTTTGTTCAATATCTTCATAAATGATCTGGAGGATGGTGTGGATTGCACTCTCAGCAAATTTGCGGATGATACTAAACTGGGAGGAGAGGTAGATACGCTGGAGGGTAGGGATAGGATACAGAGGGACCTAGACAAATTGGAGGATTGGGCCAAAAGAAATCTGATGAGGTTCAACAAGGATAAGTGCAGGGTCCTGCACTTAGGACGGAAGAACCCAATGCACCGCTACAGACTAGGGACCGAATGGCTTGACAGCAGTTCTGCGGAAAAGGACCTAGGGGTGACAGTGGACGAGAAGCTGGATATGAGTCAGCAGTGTGCCCTTGTTGCCAAGAAGGCCAATGGCATTTTGGGATGTATAAGTAGGGGCATAGCGAGCAGATTGAGGGACGTGATCGTCCCCTTCTATTCGACATTGGTGAGGCCTCATCTGGCTTTCTTCTGCCTTTTGCAGCTCATCTTTTTGGGGGCGAATGCCATGATCCTTTCTGTCAACTCTGTGGTCTTATGAGGAACCAGAGCGTGTGTCTGTCCTGCCAGGAAGGCCCATCCCCCTGGGTGGGGGAGATAGGCTTGACCATAACTAGCTCCACTGAGGTGAAAACGACCTGTCCCTTGTCTCCACTAAGATTGTACGTGGAGTTAGCTGCTGAAGTGGGCTATCTTGATGTAAACACACACGTATAGTTGCAGATATAAACCCAGGTTCAGTGAATGGGGTTCGCTTTCCCCTTGATCTAAACAAATCTCCATCACTTTTCCTAGCCTAGACAAGCCCTGAGCATCACATCAATACTGTTCTCCTACTGCCAAGTGAGTATTCGTTACAGAGCTCCCCCATAGGCAATGTGCAATGGAGGCTGGTGGAGGCTAAGCCTCCCCAAACCTCATGCCACCGCGGGGCGAGGGGGGGCGGGGCAGTGGCGGATTATGGCCCCTGGCCAATTTGGGGCTTCTGGACAAATCTCCTCCCACCAGGGCCCCAGGGCTGAAGGTGCTCTCGCTCACCGCCGTGACCCCAAGGCCGCAGCGGGGGCACAGAGGTTTTCCGGTCTCGGGTCTGCAGCGGGTGGCGGGAGGGCGGAAAGGAGCCAGCGGCGGAAGACACGGAGGGAAGGGGCGGAACAGCGGTGGGGCCGCGGAGGACGTGGCAGAATGGGGGTGGGGCCATGGGTGAAACAGGGGCAGGGCCAGAGGGGAAAGGGCAGGCTGGGGAGGGGTGGTGGCCATGGGGTGGTGCCAAGGTCCTGGCTGGGGCTGAGAACCCCCCCACCCCAGCAGGGTTCATGGGGGGGAGGGGCCAAGCTCTGCCCCGGCTGAGGCCACAGCTGGGGGGAGGGGGGCAGAGAGCAGAGAGTGGGGGAAGAGGCAGGCCAAGGGGCTAGCTCTCCCTCCTCCAGCCAAACCGCTTGGTCAAAAAATTTCATGATTTTGGTGCAGATCGTGCAAAGATTGGATGAAAAAGCTGCTTTTCTACCAACATTTTTCACAGGGAGGGGAAACCTCCTCGCCCGCCGAGCTCGGGGTTGGAGTTCGTCATTCCGTACAGAGGTGGTCTCCCCGGGATGGTCTCGCTCACTCGGCCACGGTCACACATGCTGTCCGTGTGGCAGAGCAGACCAGGGTGGGGAGAGCTCAGTAGTTCTTGGAGAACGCCCGTCCTGATGCCAATGGGAGAAGAGTGAAGAGCCGGGACATTGCTGCTCCGTTCGAACAGGGCTGTGCAGAGCAGAGACCCTCTGGAGCATGGGACCTCCCCCCCCCCACAGACCGTCACAGCATCTTGTGACACAGGATGGAGGGGCTGGGCAAGGGGTCAGGGAGGAGAAGGGAGTGGGGGTAGGTGGGAAGTGTCTTTCTGTACAGAGCCCAGATACCTGAACAGGGGGGAAGAGAGGGGGCAGGGTTCACAGAGCACTTTGTCCTTCCTGTCCAGCCCCCCGCTTTACCCCTGCTCCCCAGATTACCCTGCCCCCCTGTCTGCCCCACTCCCTGGGTTGTCCTCACTCCTGTCTGTTTCCTCCTGGGCTTCCCTGATGCATCCTGCACCTTCATCCTCTGGCTCTTCCTCACTGCCCCCTGATCCCTGGCTCGCCTCTGCTCCCTGCCCTGCCCTGCACCCTGATCCCTGGCTCACCCCTGCTCCCTGCCCACCTGCACCCCGATCCCTGGCTCGCCCCTTCTCCCTGATCTG